CAAAAAACTCTTCCTTCAAATCATCCTTCATTGGCTACTTCATACAATAACATCGGTTTGGTATATAAAAAGATGGGAGAGTACTCGAAAGCACTCTCATTTTACGAGAAAGCACTTGAAATTTGTCAAAAAACTCTTCCTTCAAATCATCCCGATTTGGCTACTTCATACAACAACATCGGTATTGTGTATAAAAAGAAGGAAGAGTACTCGAAAGCACTTTCATATTACGAAAAAGCACTTGAAATTTGGCAAAAAACTCTTCCCTCAAAGCATCCTTCATTGGCTACTTCATACAACAACATCGGTTTTGTATATGAAAATATGAAAGACTATTCGAAAGCACTGTCATATTTTGAACGTTCTCTGGACATATACCAGCGTGCATTACCTCCAACTCATCCTCATATTAAAGAAGTGAAAGACGATATTGAAATTGTAAGAAAGAAATTATAAATAATAGTTGATAAATAAATAAAACATTTTGCTCACTTGTTTTTGAGTTAATCTCTAGTTTGTACTTTCGCGCGTGCGTACAGAGAACAACTCTGTAAATAATAAAAACGTAATGAACAAAGTCGACTGATAAGGTAATAGACTTACATACGCATGTGTATAAATGACCTTCTTAGAAATATTTACATTTGTAATTCTTTATGAGTGTTCCTTGTGATCAAAGAAGAATAACTTACACGGAACTAAATTGTGATAGTGTTGAACAAGACATCGTATGATGAAGAAATGGTTAAAAAATTGCAATATATATGCTGACATGTCGTCAACACATGCTCTAATTGAATCAATCAGTTAGTATTCATCATTAACAAGAAACAAATGAAAAGAATAATCACTTCTACATAATGTATTGAACAATTTAGATACGATGAATTACTATTTATTTTATAGAGCAGAAAAGTCAATTATAGTTCTCTGATCTCGGATTCAAACTAAGAGAGAAGTTGTTCAAAGAGATATCTTACAATTACTTCTGATTTTTTAATGACCATCACACTTAGGTATTGCACAGAGGACACTATCAGATATCGAAATAGATCCGCTAAATTGGATGTATGTGAAAAAACAATTGATCTTAACAACAAAGTTAGATTTTAGATATTTACCAAGCTTTCGAATCACTAAACTTCAATATTCCGAGATCGAATATGAACAATAGTCAACGGTCGTCTGTGAGAAAAAACGAAGATATACGCCTATACAATAATGAACAATTTACTAAATACAATTCTAGTTTTATCTATTTTGCATCAATGTGCTTTTTCCAGGTTGCCGCCGTAGATCATGAAGGCTACTAAATATTTTATTTGTTTTATTTCATTTGTAGAAGATCATCCAAATTGATTGAATTAATAAATAGTATGCATTTTTATTTTATTATAAGTCATTCATTCGATGAACAGTTGTAATATTTTGTTTTGAAAAGCAAATGCAATAATAAAGAGTGAAGGGATAGGCAAAAAACAAAATCAATCATGTTCATTCTTTATTAACTAGATATGAGTTTAATTAGTATAGTGATACAAGTAGATATTCGTAAAGTCAACATCGATATACACCCTGAAGAATTAACTGAAATCAAGATAAAATTAAACTTGTTCTAGATGATTTGAATTAATTTAATATACTAAACATAACTGTTTAGATCATAGTCATGACGATGAGTATTGAATTAACTGACTGAATTGTAGTTTCAATGATTATTCCGATTCTGCTAAAGTTTATACAATTAGTAATGTCATCGAGTTAACTATTTTCTTTTATGATCTAAATGATTAAGATAAACTCATCTAATACATTATTTCAACTTTTATTTGATTTAACATAAACAATAATTCAAACTTAATTACTAATATATTTATTATAATTAATAAACTTTATCCTCTGTTTCTAGCAATAAAATTAAGAGTGATCAAAATCATTTGTATTTTATGTTTTTACATATAAAATTACATGTATAGATGAATAACATAAATATTTTTTCTTGAAAGATTGAACTAAATTCTATGTTAAAAAAAGTAAACACGATGAAATTTCTTCTCATTCTTGATTATTAACAAAAATTTAGTCATACATTCATAGTTAATGCCTTCAAACAATTTCATATAAATAACATTTTGTCTTGATATACAAGATTACTTTATTTACAATTACAAGTTAAAAATAATATGCAATTGAAAAGTTGTTTTTCAAAATTAAATTAATTTCGCACGTTTTCATACGGAAAAAAAGATTCTATTTTTTAGATATGTACTTGATTGTATAATGTAATTATTTCAATAGATTACATCATCAATCATCTTTTGCGTAATAAGGAATATCTTGGAAATTATTACGATAATAATCAAATTAAATAAAAAGATTCTTTCTACTTATGATCTATTAATATATACCTTCATAGAAACATCAAATAATTTTTTATAATATTAAAGTAAAGTCGCTTTTTTTCGAATTTCATTCGTAGTAGTTAATTTTTCCATTCCTTTAAAAATCTATAAGGTTTTTTTATGATGAACTCTATACGCGAAAGTAGTCGGAAGAAATGCAAAATTAGATTTTCAAAGTATTGATAGTCATCACTTGATGAATGAAAATGATAATAATGATGTAATGAAATAGTAAATACTAATTTGTAGTAGAAATAATGTTCATTAGCATTTTTCTATGTTAGTGATGAAGTAATAATAAATTCGAATAAAAGCATTATTTAACGATACTAACAACCAATATTAAACTAATCACTTTTATTTCCTTGTAATTCAATAACATTCATTAAAGCAATTCTACCATAGAAAGTGAAATGATCTTCTATTTGAATTTCTTTGAATGTTTTATATTTACTGATTTATGTGATGTTTGATATAACGTATGAGAATGAAAACTTAAATTAAAGTAGAGTTAGATGAATTTTACAGTAAGACTTAGTTAACAGTGGTAGCCGTAATATGATATATAAGTATGAATATTCTATCACAAATCTCCAAATATGAAAAAAACAAAGTCCATAGTCAAAATGGTGTTTTGCGACGCTTCCTGTAAACGAACTAAGCATGCTGTTCAAAATCGACAAACGAATAGTATTAGTATGATCTCGATATATTGATCTCAGGTTTGAAAGAGTATTTTGTGACGTTCCGTTCTTGAGATCATCGTCCACAAAATGACCACTTTGAATGCGTACGCGAAGGACTACATAAATGCTTCTGCTTCGCATTGCATTAAAAACTAAATTGCTTGTGATTCACAACTATCATTCTGATTTAATGTGCTGCATCTAAAAGTTTTTTCAAGATCTTTTTTATACGCTATCTATAGAGTCGTAAATATTAGTATAAACGTATTACTGAAAATAATGTTTTATATTGTTCCATATTATTTTCAATCGTCTGTGAAGAGAATAAGACATTCATGTATGGATAAGAAATTTTTTAATCACCAAAATTGTTTAACTGCGATGTGATTATTAAACAATTAGTATTTCGATCATTAAATCTATCATAAATGAAAATAAGAACAAGAAATAGGGTGTAGATGTGGATGTGAGTTGCTGTTGATCTGAATGAGGTCGTTTTTGTAAAGTGTACAACATACACACGCTCTCTAGATTCACAGCTTTGCGAGAGAAAAAGAAAAACATCTTGAATAAACACTATATCGGCAGTATCAATCGTGATATATGAATACGCTTTATATAAAAATGGGAAAGACAGAGAGAGAAGAAGAAAGAGAAATATAGCGAAGTAAAGGTGGAAATACCATTCATAGGTAACTATACCTTTGTGAAGATGGCACCTGTGGACGATGTGAGGCTGCGAGTGGGTATTTTATCGTTCTCTGATAGTCACTCATTCACGCCCACACCCTTACTTAGTTAGATTTTATCTTTTCATTATTTATTAAAATGTTTGATTAAATTCATTTATCTTCATTTTAATTATCTATTCATCAAGTTTTTATTAATTAATTTTTGTTTTTTATTGACAAATAATTGTACTAATAATCAGTCATCTTTAAACTTTATCGAAGTTCATATCTAGATTTAACATTAGTCTCGATTGATATTTATCTTGCAGTTTCACTAGAACTATGTACGAGAAGATAATAAAGAGTAACTAAATTCTGGATCTATTAATTAGTCATTCACATAAACAGTACCATATATTAGTGAAAAAAAATAGATACGGACTTATTCGCGCTTGGATCTGAATTCAAAGCTTTCTAATTATCAGTCTGTTCCAATGATTTTTCATTCACTTACTATTAAAACTAGATTGGACATAATTAACATTATTGATAGGATGGTATCACAGGCGACAGAGCGTCTTTAATCTAGGTGTGGCTCATACTATTTTCTTCTTCTCATTCGTTGAACTGCGACGGTCAAACTTATATTAGAGCTGCAGTATCAAAAAAAGCTCTTTTATTAAGTTTAACAAATCAAAGAGTAAAAGATGGTTATAATTAAAAAGAACTAAAAAACCGTTTTCTTTGTTCGTTTCTTGATGCAAACATAGACAAAATAATTGTTCAAGCCGATAGAATCCATCTTTTCCTTGTGAACGTAAGTCAGAAATGCGCGATTCAAACGAGTCTGTGCCATAGAAAAGAACGAAAATGGCAAAAGCAGTGAAACGAAAGATAAATACCATTATTTAACACTCTTAAATATTCAGAATCTACATACACATTCTTATCTCGAGCTATTATTCTCTCTTGTGAAATCGAAGCGAAGCTGATATCCGACTGCAATCATGTCAATAAGTGACGTGAAAAATATAGATTATCGTGGAGTGTTAAGTTCAAATTAGGTGAGACTGATCCTCAATTGGCAAAACGTAGGTGAGGCTCAAGTCTCTGAGTCTCATAGCCTCCGCCGCCCTTGCCTACACCCAAGATTGTTAATCGACTAATTATCCGATCAAATTTTTTACTTCTCAAAAACTATTTATTTACTTAGCAGAAATTGTTTTTGTACTTAGATCTGTGTTCGCTAAATTACTTAGCAAAAATAGAATTTTTGACTTAGTTTTCATTTAAATTCACTTAACACTTAAATAGGTGCTATTTTAATATATCGTTTCGTTAAATTTAATCAAGTAGTTAAATTTTACTTCATTTATGTTCACGTGATAAAGAAGTTGAAGCATGCGATGAAATATAATAAATTAGACACAGATATATTATTAAGAGTGGCTTTTCACTATTAATATGAATATAAATTAGTATCGTTAACCTAGGTTGTATTAATTAATATATATTTTAGTAAATATTTATAGTTCCAAGTTCGTATTTTACATATATTCTTTTGTTTTTTACCTATAGAGTTTGTTTCTATATGTTCACTTATTGAATCCTTTGATTTTTTTTTAAATTTATTTTTAGTATTTTTCCTTCTGATGTCAAGAACATTTATAGATAGATATGCAGACTTCTAATGATTATTTAATTGTTTTAATAAACAATACAAAACACATCAACAAAGAAAAACTCTGCAATTGACATATTAATGAATTATTTTTGACTTCCCAAACAGACAAGCACCAAAAAACGTGCAAAAACGGTGAGATTTTAATCAAAATAAAATCGAGAAAAGCGCATATTTTAAGGAGTTAATACGCGTTTTTTGACAGGTTTTGTCTGTCTGGGTTATATGGTTTGCGGAAGAGCAACAGTTGAGATTAATAAATTAATTTTTATCTTAAATATATAGATCAATTTGTTTTCATCTGACTTACATTCCCCAAATAGATTCTTCATTGTTGAGTGTCCTATTAATTTCTTTCGCTGAAATGATTATATTAATTAGAATAGAATCATCGCAGTGTATTCAAAATTATTTTAAAATATCTGATAATGCTTTTCATTTCATTAAACTGAAAGATAAAAAATATATATAAGATAATGAGACAACCAACTAAAGCAAATATTCTTCTGTTTATTTTATTTCTACAATGTCAGATAGAGCTTCACCAGTTAAGTAAGAATATGTAGGTTATATTTTTTTTAACAATAAATCGAAACAAGATATTAAGTTATGTCACAAAAGTATAGCTTTAGTTTTTCGTAATATAATTGTGTTATAATTGAATATAAACGATACTTCTTATCGAAAAAGAAGTTATATTTTACAAAAACTAAACTTCTCATAGCATTATATCTAATTCGTAGGTTATGACCGATACTGTAATATATCGATCATTACTTTTGCTATAAAAAGTTAATGATGGATCGAGTTATTTTTTAGAATAGTCATAGAATTGAAATGTGAATCATGACAATCGAGAGTATTTTTAGATAGCCATACATTTCTTCAGTTTACTGAATCTTAACAATGTCAAATGCAAGCAATAATTCGACTGTACATACAACCGGAACTGTACTATCATACGCTGGAACAAGTGTAAATGAAATTCCTTTAATTGGAAGATTCTGGATGTATCTCCTATCAAATTGTGCATCATTTATTTGTTCTATTTTTGTTCTCTATCATTTACTTTTTAATAAGAATCTTCGATGGGGACTTAATAACCATGCTTTCATAGTTGGTCTTATTATTAATCTTTTTGTGCTCGTATTAGATGTTCCACTGTATTTGTATTATCTATATCATGGAATTGTTTGGATACAAGTGCCATTGATTTGTCAACTTTGGAGATATATTGATGCAGCATCATATACAGTATTACCTAAATTAGTTGCATGGGCTTCATTTGAACGGCATATTCTGATTTTTAATGAACGACGACTTTTACGATTAAAAAATCGTATTTTATTTCATTATATACCTATAGGTATAATCACTAGTTATCATATTCTTCTCTATATGATAATAAACTTATTTCTATCTTGTCAAAATAGATTTGTTTATACACAAAGTTACTGTGGATATGCGAGTTGTGCATATCAAACTGCATATACTATTTACGAGCTGTTCACAAATGGAGTACTCTCGTCTGTCTGTATTGCTTTCTTCAGTATTACTCTGATTGTTCGGGTTGTCTATCGCAGATATCGTGTACGTCGACAGGTAGATTGGCGTAAGCATAGAAAACTAACAATTCAACTTTTATTTGTTGCATCAATATTTTATATCTTTTATTTTCCTTTGGTCATATTAGGTGTTTGGCGTTATATTATTGGTATACCGAGCTTTGGTTCTCAATATTATGTATACGGAAGCTTTTTTTCCTTTTATGTTAATTTTCTCTTTCCTTTTGGATGTGTTGGTACAATACCTCAACTTAAAACAAAAATCAAAAAGATATTATTATGTTGGAAAATAAAATCATCTGCTGTTGCTCCACGTATAGTGAAAAAACAACAATCGCCAGCTTGTCAAAAACCTATTACAGCAAATACTGCTTTATAATCATGAATAAAATATGACAAATCAAAAACAGCGTAAATGTTGTATCGTTATATTATAATTGTCGTAAATCTAAATTGATTATAAAAAGCACTTTTAATTTAGAAAACTTTATAAATCGTATACGAATCGGATAAAAAAGACTAATAAGTCGGGTCATCTATCCACTGATATATTCTCTTATCGACTATTCTGTGGATTTATACTATGTCTGTAATAGAGACCATGACAGGGCACTTTTTTACTCTGCCCTGGTCTGATCACCCTACAGAGCAATAGGGAAGCCCTGTCCTGATGTCGGTCTCTGGAACGATATTCATTCTACAACAAATCTTATTTTATGAAATAAATTTTTTTCTTTTTATCTTTAAAAAATGTTAATATGCATATCGATCTGTTGAGATTATTTCTATTAACATGATAATGTGCCACTTTAATTGACTTCACTCTATCACAATCCTTAGACATTACCTCGAGAATCTCTAAATCTTCTATAAACTCTGCTTAGAACTCGTGATGGAGATTTTGACAGGTCGTTTGTATTCAATTTGTGCTCATTGAGTGAAATGATATGTTTATTTCTGCAGGATATTCACTTAGCTATTGCATGTTTATCATATTCGTTTGAATTAAACGTGTTAGAAATGATTTATAGTTGTGTACTTTCAGTACTTTGTTTTTTCTCTTTGAATGAACATAAAACTTTTACCTTTTCTTAATTATATTTTAAGGACATTTGCTAATGAAACTCATTATTGAAAAAAAATTCATTAAAATATATAAGTACTATCGTGTCTTTTTTCTTCGTCTAATTATATTAGTAGAGAAATGAATATATTTTTACATTAACAATGAAAAACTATTGTACTGTTAGTGTAAGAAAACTTTTAAAGTCATTTCAAGTAGCGAAGTAGAACATACAGGATTTTCATACCATCTTGAGGGTGTGCGTATGGGGTAGGGTTTAGGTGAAGGAAAGAGAACACCACCCACACCTTCAAGTTTCTAATTTAAAAGACCTATCCTTTAGGATATTCTCGTAGTGTCCTTCACTTTTCATGGATAGACGTGATTTAACTGAAATAGAATATTATTATTTTATATTAATTATACTTTTACACAAAACATTTCTATTAGGAGTTAATCAGTCGAAATTTTTATTAATAATTCATTGTAAAATAATAAATCTAATTATAGTCTGTACCAGGAAATGAGTAGAAAATGTTGTAAAATGAATAATTTGAGAATGATAATAGCTAGTAATCTATGGTTTACAATAAAAGATAGAAGCTAAGTTGGAATGTCTATTTTTTCCGGTAATATGTAAGATGAAATCTTCTAAAAATTAATTACTTTTGGGAAACATACAAATGAATTCATGACTTGTAACTTAGGTAAACAGAGTTCAAATCTATAATTCATGGTATAATATACTTTCTTACATTTCTACCGGAATATCATACTGTTATGTTAAAAAGTACGAGAACATAATAAAAATTTACAAAATTTCATATTATTTCTACATATAAATACATGATTCTATTTGTTTATCATTAAAATTTAATTACAGAACTATTTATACATTGTAATCTTGAACTATAGATCTCAACTTTCTCTATTTAAATTCAAAGTCAAAAATAAAATCTTATTTAGATATTAAGGTGCTTTTATTCAAACATAATTAATTTTCAAAAGAAATTTTTTATTATACATTATCGGAAAAAAGCTTTCCCGACTCGGGTTCGTTTACACCTACGTAATTTTATCATCAGCGACGAATTGATTTATATTTCTAAATCTTATTGAATCATTGTTTACTAATAAATATTTGATTCCTAGTGATGTATCGAATTTTTGTATACAGCATAAGTATTATCGTAATAGGTTTTTTGCCTAGGTTAAAATTAGTGATTGGATACTTAGTACAATACTTGAGACGTTTTATTTAAGGATCTTGGTATTATAAAAACATAAGCAATATTAATTTAAGATTGATAAGTATAAAATATGACAAAAGGTAGTTTCTCTTATTTTGTTTTGTTGCATTCGATATTAATAAAGAAAATGTCAATCAAAACTAGATATAAAGGAGTACTTGAGTACAACATACGAAGTACGGGTAATAGAGTACAGATTATTTAAGTCAAACGGATTTGTATTTGTACTCAGCGTACTAATACTGATCCAATCTCTGATTAAAACCTAGTCCATTGAACCTAAATGTTATGTGAATTCTCATGCGTATTAAAAATTCATGAAAGAGATAAAGATTATGATCATTTATTATTTTTCCTATCATTAGATAATCAACAAACTCATAATCAGTTAAAAAAGAAAAATTCAATCGAACAATAAGTCCAATATATGATCTACTTCATTTAATTATACGAACATGCAATCGAGGTATTTTCAAAGATGATTAAAATCATATAGTGAAGATCGCAATTATCGAATATTCAATGAACGAATCACTATACTTCTCAATGTCAAAGTTTAATTTATTATTATTTTGATATAAATGTCATTCGGACAAAGACAATATATCTCATAAATAATAAATATAATATATTGTAATTTTATAACAAAAAAAGCCAATCTGGAATGATTCGAATCTATCATAAAAAAAAATCAATTATCTTAGAAATGATTGAAAATAACCATAATTATATTTATTATCATTATTACAGTTAAAACATTTGTTTCTATAAGATACATGACATATATACGTAGTTTTAATAACTGTATTGACCAAAAAACAAAAAAAAAACGATAATAGTATCAAGCAACAAAAAGAGAAAAACAACGAAACTTAAAATAGATATATCATACAGAAATAAACTCCTCATGGTATATATACATGAAACCAAAAGAACAGAAAAAAAAGAGAGATTTATCTATCGGTCTTTTAATCATAATTAACTGCCACTATCATCACCAGTAATAATGATTGATGGAGATCCAACTGTCATACTATTATCTCGTCGAGTAGTATTTATTGATTGTTGTTGAGTTAATATTACTGTTGGTGATGCTGGATCGCTACTATCTCCTTCTTCTTGTTCAAGATTATCCGGAAGACGTACAGGTGGATAATGATATTGTGGATGTTTACGTACATTATTTGTTTGTAATGGACCATGATGACGTTGTTTATTTACTGGTGAACGAGGTTGTTGCTGTTGTTGAGATTGTTTTTGTGTATTATTTACAGTTGACATCATCATTGTACTTTCATCAAATGTTTTTAGTCGTATTCGATGATGATGACGTTTTGGTGTACCACGATATGAAATATCATCATTAATAGTTTTCCTTCCTTCTAATGTTGGATCATGCATAAGAAATTCATTAACAATACGATTTGTTTTTTCATCAATACTATAATCTCTTGTTATCGGCATTGAATAAACAGGTAAACTATGACCTAAACCAGTCATAGCTGTATCACGTACCATACTAAATTTTAAACGAGGTTTTGATATATATGTTGGTATTATAGAATGTATTGCTGCTGTTTTTGTTTTCGCTGTTGGTGAAGATGAAGTTAATGATTGTTGATTATCAGATGATATTGAACCACGTTGAGAATGAAACGTTTCTACTTGTGGACTAAGTATAAAAGGTGGTGTTGCCGAAAATGAAGAAGGTTGAAGAGTATGATGAGAATTTTCACTATCTGTTCGATCTGGAGAAAGATGTTGTCGCATGGGACTCAGTGGTGATAGAGAAACAGGTATTCCATCAGTACTTGATGATAAACGAGTATCATATTTATTTTTATTGGGACATGGTGGAGATTCTTTTATAAATGAATCTATTTTAAAAGAAATTAATTATATAAAAAAATAAAATATTTTTTATTAATTAACCTTGATGATTTCGTGATGAATTTTTTGATCCATCTGATTTAGTTCGTCGAAGATCAGCATATCGAACATGTAATGATGATATTAATGGTTTTGTATTTGTCTCATCAATCTAATTTTAAAAAAAACAAAAATAAAGAAAAAAAAATGTCTCTGATTTTACTTGATGAATTGTGGCTTGTTGTTCATCAGCAATTAAATATGGAAGACCAACATTGGATGCAGCATGTCGTTTATCTTTACCAAATTCTCGTCGTTTTTTACTTGCAGTTCGAGTAAATGATGAAGATGTTGAAAGTTTATTAGTGTTATTATTATTATTAGTTTGATTTGTATTTGATAATACAGAAAGATTTATTGGACTTGGTTTATAATGATCAACAAGTGGAATATTTGTTGATAAACTACGTTGTTGCATCATATTCGAATTTGATAAACTGGGTGGAATAAGATTTGTTGATGTTTCTTGATAGGAATGATGAAGACCAGTATGAAGAAGTTTTGGACTACGTCTTAAAAGATAAATAGGGAAAAATATTTCTTTGATAAAGATTTTCATATATATTTACCGATTATAATTTAATAGTTTTTGTTGATCTTGTTCTTGTTGAGCAAGATCATCGTCTAAATCTTTAACATCAACACTTCTTTGTTGTTTACGTGATTCACCCATATAAATAACACTTTCAGCACCATCTGCTGACATCCAATCTAAACTAAATGTTCGATTTTGACTATTTTGACTTTCTAATGATTTATAACCACTATCATCTTGATGTGGAGATATGTGTGGTGATGGTTGTCGTCGATTATTAACATAACGATTCGAAACATCAGGTACTGCATTTTCATTACCCGATGATTCAATTGATGTAAATTGATCATTTGGTCCACGACTACTTGTATCTGATTGCATATCAAAATCCGTTTCAAGACTTCGTTCAAAACTTGAATTTTCACTTTTAGAATTAAAATTATTTAATAAACTTGAAAAACTTGTTAGAGGATGTCGTAAATTTTCATCATCTAAACCAATTTGATTATTAAGTAATTGTTGTTCACGTCGTGCATTGGATTGATTAATACAACTACGACGTTTTTCAAATGTACGTCGAAGTGCTTGACGACGAACTTCAGGTGGTGGTAATAATAGATTTGATGAACTTTTACGACGATGTTGATATTTTAATGAATTATTATCATTATTAATTATAGGATTATGATTATTTATATTATGAATAGGCATAGCTCCAGCTGAATCAATAGATGTTGATGTTAATAAATCTGGTGAAAGTTCTTCCGGTGATGTTCGATCTAATTGTTGTTGTTCTTCAAGTTCATATGATTGACGTAAACGCCAAAGATCTTGTGATGCTGTTCGTGCATCTTCATCAGGATCATTTGAGTTCATTTGTTGAACAAGAGTTTCTTTTCGACCTGTATTATTTTGATAATCTTCCTATCAACAACAAGAAACAGAACAAAAAGTAAATTGAATTCTTTAAATTAAAAATAATATTTACCATATTAGTACTTAGCCGTCGATTTTGTAATTGAGATAATTGGGCTGCTTGCTGCACCAATTCACTCATATCCGGAATTTTAATTACAATGGGTGCTGGAGCAATAGATGATGTTGATGGACGACGATCATCAGCATATTCATAAGATTTTGTTCGACGATTAACTACATCAGAACGATTTACACCAGGTCGTAAAAGATGAACAGCATCAAAACTACGAGATTGTTTATCAATTGTTGTACAATTTGATGATGTATATTGTGGAACAACTGGTGGCAAAGAATATTCCAATGATCGAGAATGTTCATGTTCTCGTTGTGCAATTGACGAACGAACTGGAGATGCTTGAGTTCCTAGAGAAAAAAAAAGAAATAATTTATTTTACTATTATTTAATTTAAATAGATTGTACCAAATGTATCAAGTGTTGTTGTTGTTGCTGTACGATCTTTTTTATCGATAATAAGTGCAATAGAATTTTTCCGACTTGTCGAAGGAGTTGGTGGAGATAAATGTTGAGAACCAGTTGGTGTATTCGATAATGGATTGCCAAGAACGGAAAGACTTGATCCACGTGGAGTATAATATATATCCGGTTGTGTTGATGCTAAAGATGTTGGTGTTGATGATTGTTGTTGAGAATGATATGCTAATGCAACATCAAAACTACTTTGACGATAAGGTGATAAGGAAGTTGATAACGGTGATGGACGAGTATCAACATTAAGAGAACGACCTTTTTCAAGACGTGGCGCATCAGATTTTCTATGTGCAACTAATGATGCATTAGAATTTTGTCGAACATAACAACGTGGATCAACTTGTAAATAAGCTTGTTCTTCATCATTGGCGATATTTCCATATGAATGACTAAAAATGAATTTTTTTTGTGTCGTTAGAATAAAAATTATTCAATCTACTTACAGCTCTTGTTGTTTATTACCTAAAATTAAAGAAAAAATATAGAATCATTAACTATTTATCTTTTTGTTGAGGATCAAAAACTAATTGAGAAAATAAATATTTGTACTATTATTAGAGATTCATGTTAATCTAACCTTAATAGTCAGAAAGCAAATTTTTTCTATAAACAGGAAACTATTCTATAGACTCTCATTATTTTTTCCTGAGAAAAAAGAGGCAAACTAACATCCGTTTTATTGAGAACGTGACTAATTTCTCAAATTGTTATATTCATACCTACCAATATGTTCTCGACTATTATGATAGGATTGATGATGTGTAGACTGACCACTTGATAAATGATAATCTGATGGAACTTGTTTTGAACTAGGTATTTGCCATTGATCACTATTTGACAACAACAAAAAACAAATTTTATATTCAATTTATTATAGAAAATCAAATATTACTCTTGTAAGAAATATCGGTCAAGTGGATTTGATCGACGTGGTTCAAGTGGTGACGATTTTCGAATACCACGACTATAAAAACGATTTGGATCAAGTAATGATGCTTGATTTAATGTTTCATATAAAAGTTTTAATTGTTCGGCTTCCCTAAATAGCAAAAAAAGTCCATTTATACGTTAAAACAAAACATTTTCAGATTAAATTTACCTCAAATTTCTTCGATTTAAACAATATTTGCATAGTAATAAAATCGAAAAAACAATGAGAAGACCGCCCACAATACCCGATATAAGTACAATGAATGCCAGACTTCTATGATTAATTTGTGTTCGTGTTCCCTAAATAGAAATGTAATACTTTAATTATGTTTTTCCAATTTTTTTACAAAAGAAGAACACTAAGGTCATCATTCTTCAACATCAAACTAAATATTCACGTCATCTGTCATATAGAAAAAAAATTAATTAATACAAGTATAGTTCTTGTTCTATGATTTCTTTTTTCATATATAAGGTTGAATACTCACTTTCATTGTTAATAAGAAAATATTGACTTAAATAAAAAGATTGTTGCCGTTCGATATTCGTATTATTTATCATACATCATTGTCATCATAAATATATAAAAATTGTTGAACAATAGACAAAGAAATGTTTTATTTTCCAAGAAAAATAATGATGACAATTGTATGTCAAATTAAAATGTTTTAGTTAGAATTATTTATCTAAAATTTACTCACAGAAGGTCATATAAGATTTATTTTAATGAAGAACATGTTCTCTTGTTATGAAACATATGCGAATAAATAAATTTATTTTGTGATGTTAAGCAATGAATGATAGATGATATTTCAACATAGATTTACATATGTCAGAAACAAGAATCATGCCGATGATCTTTATTCCACTCTCTCAAATAGATGACGTTTGAAAAAAAAGTAGACACCTTTTTCCTGTTTTTTTCATTTTTTTTTCTTCTTCTTATTCTGCTTCTCCCATCTGCTTTTATACTCATTCTATTGTATTCCTCGAAGTGGGACTTTAAGCAATGAATTTTCCTCTCTATGACCACATCAGACAAATTCTTCTAGTTAATAAGAACAATAAATGTGATTAACAGGAGACGAAGACTTTTTTATGTATATCTCAGACATACGAAGAGGCTAAAAGACAGGTCGTTGTTGAATCTTGATGTCACTTAAATTGTTGTCGAATTGTGGGTTTTTGAGGAGTACAAACTAGGTTCGTGTATCAAAGTTATCACGCGATGTTGACGTTCAACGATCTGTTATTATAATAACGTGCAAGACACAATTATAATTCATCGCAAGACAGATGCCACTGCTGCGTAATTACAAAGCTCAATAGAAAACAAAACTGTTTCGACTAACAACAACTGAAAAAATATAGATGAACAAGACGAGAGAGAGAGAGGGAGAAAATTGTTGATTATGTTCTCATGAGATTCGTTTTCTAATCATCCAACAAATAATCAAGCAAAAATAAACTAAAAGTGGATAAATATATGTTAATAAAAAAATTTATTCAACTAACCATCTAAATCGTTTATTGTATTTTATATGTTAACGAGGATTATTCAACATGCATAAACATGAAGATATAAACGTTGTTCTTATAATTTGTTTGTTTGAATACTAATAGACTGAACGGGATGAATAACTAGTTGATGTATATTCATGAAAAGGAAAGTAAACGAATGAGTGTCTGTGTCTTTTCAGTCGCAATGCCATCATTGTTGACGTCGTTTGGTTTTCTAACATGCAATAATAATAGGAACATACTAGAATAATATACTCTTTTATGCAATATTTGACTCTAGATGAAACAAAAAATGCGCGAAAGCTTATGTGAAACAATACGGGGGAAGAAGAAAAAAAACGGAAGAATCCTCTCTCAATCTTCTTTAATTACAAATATATGTCATGTATATTTTATGATCTCATATGCGTGACTTCTAATCAACAAGCATCTTAATCATTTTTTACAAACAATTCTCTCTTTTGTGTGTACTTATACTTTGATCAATAAATATTCAACGAAGAAGAAGAAGAAGAACGTTTCACTGTATAAGATAGAGAATAGTTAACAAAGATCAACGTACAAAACAAGCACTAAAAGAAAAAGACTTACTATAATGTTCATTAAAAACACTTATATTTGCACGCATACTTAATTAACGATAAGTGTTATGCGATAATTATAACATGGGTTATCCTTTGTTCGTTTTTTACTCAAAACAGGAAATTGCTTTTAAGCTTATTTTAAAAAGATTTTTTACTACAATTGTTAGTATTTATTAAACTAAATCTATAACTACTAACAAATAAGAATCTCTATATATCATAGAAATAATAGTGTGTGGGTTTTAATTTATTATAGTGTTATTTTCTTGATGTACCAAAAAACTGCATTTGAAGTACTTACTCTAGAAGAAGAAAAAAAGATGTAATTGATGTAAATGTATTACAAGAGGACTAAATAATTCTCTGGATAGTTTCAGATTGTAATGCATTAAATGTCTATAGTTTTCTCTATTTTTCATTGACAGACATAAAAAAAAAAAAGAAAATCTATATGTGACAATGTGATAAAAGTTAGTATATGAATAGTCACGTCAGTCTATCATCGATCAACAACTATAGAAATAAAAAAAACTGACGCATTTTACTATTAATAAGAATATTTACTAATTCTACTTAATCATTCTAAACATATGTCGAAATCTCTAGGAAATACAGAGCCAAAAAACTTAGAGAGTATGATTACATCATTTTATATCTAGAAAAAAATATATACTACTTGACTTTCATTATTTTTTGCACCTTAAACAAAATATCTATTGTTTTGTTTTACTTATCATGAATCATTGTACATCCTTCTTTCTTTCGTTAATGTATTATTTACTTAAGCTTTCTCAAGTATTTTCTTTTCGTATAGACGAGAATAAATATATATATACGGAAATATTTCAATCGCAATTTCACTAATACTAATAATTATACAATAAAAAAAGGAAGAAGAAGACGAAGAAGAAAAAAAAGAAAACTAATAAAAGCAAACAATCAAATTAACAAACACATATTCTTTCTTTTCTTAATAAACGGTAAAAAAAGAAAAATTTTCTTTTTAATAGCGTACTGTTTTTTTACATATGTTATTCATTCCGTTACCATCCAATATATATATATTTTTTTTTCTTTTCTCTTTCTACTCATTTTCTCAATTGAGTCTCTAGTTTTGCTAGACTTGTCAATGACAATAGAACAATAACAACAACAAGAAAGAAAGAGAAAATAATACTAGAAAGTAAAATATTATATTAACATCTCATATTGCGTGCTTATCACACCTCAAACATTATTTTGATCATAATAATATAGGAAAACTGGCATATATCTAAAAGCGAAGACTAAAATGAATCTATATATGTGTATAGACGATTCTAGGTTAAAAAGTTTTTGAAAACTTACAAACAAAGAAAAACCTGATAAATTCTTGTCTAGATTATTTCTTCATCTTCATCTTCACCGTCTTCTTTTTTTTTGAAAATAAATTACAACGGAAATTATGTTGCTTGAGGTGCTAAAAAAATACTTACGTACATAGATTTATCAATGAAAATATAAAATGACATGAGAAGAAAAAGGTGGGTGGAAGGAAATAGAATTTCATCTAAATTTTACAATTAAATTCATTAAACATTCTTTATATTTCTATAAATTGCATGTCTTGATCTAACATTATATCTCATTCTTTTTCTTCACTCTTAATTTAGATTCTTTATTTTATTTTATCAAACAGAACAATTGATAAAAGAAGAAAGAGTTTATATATTGAATGCAAATTATATAATTGTTTGAGAGTCATGAACGGAAATTTTATTGAAATACGTGCAATAAGTTATGAATAATAGATTAATAATCTATTTTTATCTTTTCTTATAAGGAAAACTAAACAAAAACCTTGTGATTTTCTTTTAATTTTTGTTTCTTATTATTATGCTTTTGAAAGGTATCAGCAGGCTGACAAAGATTGATTACTATGTCGTCAGCAATAGAAAAAAAAACTATGAATATGTACATCTAATTTGATCCACAAAGAAGAGAATGCAAGTCTTAACGTCGGCGTCGATGCAGAGAAGATAATGTATTTTCTTCTGTTCGAGTGCCTTTCCATAAACAATATGAAGAAAAAGAAGAAGAAAAAACTCTTGTATATACACCATTGCCAAAATGATTATTCATCTATCTGTCTTTCGTTCTTGTCCTTTTGCTTTCTTCTATATGTATATGTATATATATATCTAAGTGTAGCTGTGAACAATAATATCTTTTCTCCTCCTCCTTTATTTCTCTGTTTCTGTTGTTTTTTCCGCTTAGTAATGTACAAGTCGATATCTAAGAGAAAAAAAAAAAACTAAATGTGCTGTTTTTTGACCCATCGACGGCACAGAATAGTCAACTATCATCATCATCATTACCATCAACAACAACAACAATAATACTACTACTACAATAGATTTTTCGAAACTGATTAACTTAATAGGCCGATAAGAAAAAAACAAGTATTATTAATATTATTTATATTTATTTGGTAAGTTTAATTTTTCTATTTGGTAAATAAACAACTTTTGTAAGAAAATAAAGCGATAGAAAAAAAAAATCTTGTTCGAATAATATATAAAGTATTTCTTTGATTTATCCATCGAACTGAATAATTACTTGTAAATTATGTAATAACATTGTAAGATAAAAGATGAATACATGTGCCTGTCGATCATAGATGGGCTAATGAACAAATAAATGAATAAAGCAGAAGCGTTATACCATCATTCTATAGAAACTTTCGAATCATCTTGACCGTCGTATTGATTAGGTATCATCAATTCTATGATTAATGATAGATCGCGCTTCGTTATTTTCTTGTAGTTGTTTCTTTCCTTATTTTCTTTTTTCTCGTTATGTGTACAACAATATTTACGAGTTCCTATTGATAATGCATATATATAATGCACGTGCTGCGCAAGCTCATGGATTGCTTTATGCTGAGATCTTACGATGATGATGATGATGATGAATTCCTAAAACACGAAGAAAATCTAGTTTCAACAACTAATACATTGTCTCGTTTATCCCCTACTAAAGATATAACAATAAACAGCAAGGTTAATTCAACGCAAGAGCTTCAAAATATCAAACAAACAGCTGTAATGAGTGACAGGTAAGTCAAGGAAAAGATATCAACCTTTGTATATATCATTGCAATAGAAAAATCACTAAGTAGCTTTATTTCTATCATTTGATTGAGTCAAAAGAATGTATGGTATGAACAACTGATGGACAATATGATTACACCATTTTATTTATTTATATTACATCATAGAAAAATAAAGAAATAAGATTTTAATTAAAATAAAGTTCAAAATTAATTTATAAACGTAAGAAATTTACGATATATATATTTTACCTTGAATTTTTTGTATTGATTAAAAGAAAAAAGAAATTTTTTATTATCTTAGATATTTAATAAATGAACGTTAGAATATTTTTTTAATAATAAGATATATATAACAGACACGGCATATGTGGCATTGGCATATGTCATTTTATTTTAAATAGATCCATGATAATATTTAAAAAATGACATCTAGAATTTTAATTTAGTTAATAGTTTAATTATTTTTTTTTCTTCTACATGACTTATCGTAAGAATAATACAAGACAGCATAAATATAATTGATTCTAAGTAGTCTGAAAAAGGAATGTATAAAAATAAAATAGATAAGTGACCTTAGACATAGATCAAATTATTTTTAAATATGTCATAAACAATCAGAACAAGATATTTTCTCTACGAAATTATTTAAGAATCTAAACAATTGACAAAAATACAAAAGTAATTATATAATAACATCATCGCGTATATAAGATTAACTTATTTTTTTGAGGTATTTCTGTCAATCTTTAGTAAGATAAATGTACAGAGTTTTAACTCTACTATCAATTAATTCTTATGATTAGTATATTTGATGAATGAATGTCGATATTTTTATCTTTATTATGTATTGAAAGAAGAGGGGGTTTTGAAATATAACAACTTACAATTTATTTTTTGTTTTTCGAACATAATAATTTTCCATTTGTTCGATATTCAATATTGTTCGTAAACACATCCTAATAAATTTCTCCCTATAGACTTCTAAGATTCTCTCTCTCTCTCTTTCTCGTCTCATCTTGATTGTATCGAATTGTGTATATCTTAGTTCATTTCTTTCTTGATTATCCGACTCCCACGAGTGTGGGTGCATATTTTTCTTTCTATCCACTAGTTAGACGATGAAATATGATGACAAAATCTGTCATCTCAAATTGTATGTGCGTGTGCATATACATACGTAAGCAAATATAGAAAAAAATGCATCTTCATACATAACGTATGTGTATTCCGATATTATCATATATATATATAAAGAGCATAAGAAAGCAGTATAAAAAAATAAAGATCGAAGATGGCCAACTCAAAGCAGAAAATAGATCGATGGTCTTCATCGGAAAATACACTGTTAAATGTTACACAATCTAGAAATGATCGTACATCTGCAAGTGACTTAAGTGCAATATCATCTATGTCTACTAACAATGATTTTTCTAATGATCAGTAAGTGAAAATTAATTATTGATTACTCTAATGTAATCATAATAAGAAAATAATAGATCATTCATTAAATAAAAATTTTGTAATTCATATTGACAGATATAAAACTCTGTATTAATCTTTTTTTCCCCCTAGAATATCATTAGCAAGTTTTTGTTTTATTGATAGAAAAATAGATTCATTATTAAACATTTAAGAAATTTTTTTTTTTGTGAATTATATTTGGTGACCAAATGGAATCAATTCTATATTTTCTCTCCTTCATACTTCATATAAAATAACCTTGCAAATATCTGGTAGAAAATGTTTGTTTGTATTTTCTGTAAGAAAAGATCTCTGTTTCTCTGATTGTATTGTACAAATTTCATGATAGTATTATTCTATATCTCTGGGTTGGAGTCGTTGCCAACTCACCAAATGATTATTAACGATTTCTAATAGAAACACATATACGTACATACAACTCGTCATATGTCAAATAAATAAGGGTGTTAGTATTCTTCTATGTACTGCATGGCAATACAAAGGAAAAAAACGCGAGAAAGTCGTCATAACTTAAGTAAAAGAACGATGATATGATGCAAGTAACGCAATAGAAAAGATAAATACTCGGCGTTCTTCTATTTGTACTAAGCAAAAGTTCACGTGATCATCGAAGAAAAGACCTTATATTAATTGATATTCTTCTATTTAGAAATTCGACAAATAGAAGATCTACTGATACCGAACATCTTTGTTTACCTGAAAGACGAACTCCTGGAAGAAATTCATCAGCAAGAGCAACATCAACATCATCAGAAATTATGACACAACAAGTACTTCGTCTTGCTGAGAAGATTAATGATCAATATTTAACATGTAAAATATGTATGGTATGTAAAAATAGAAAGACAAAAAAACAAATAAATACATATTGTTTTTTTTCTATTATTTCAAGGAACCATTCAAAGACCCGAAATGTTTAACTTGTTTACATACATTTTGTGAACAATGTATCGAAAATCATGTGTCTGCTCAAAGGTAAATAAGTTCGTTTTTCTTCTTCTTCTGATAAAGAATTCTACAATTAGCATTATCTCTATAAGATATATTTCTGCATAATTAAATCATAAAGGACACTGACTGTTTATACTGTTTATTCAAGGTAAAAGTACAGAGAATATAAACCATAGAAGTTTGTCTGTACTGAGCAGATTACAAACAATTGTTACATAATAGAAGAAAGAAGAATTTTTAGATATGAGAGTATGATGTTTATCAAAATTTTTCTTCGATCGATTTCTAAAGATTATTGTTTCATTTATTTCACTGGATAAATTAGGTTAGTGTATGTATGCATTTTAAAAAAATAATCGATTAATTGATTTTTAGTCGTCTAATTATCATAGATAATTCTTAGCCTTCTTCTATTATTCAACACATTAGTTACTATTTAATTCATATTTTAAATTATTTTTCGATATAAATTTTCTTACCAGATTCAGTCTACGAACAACTATTGATATTTGAGACTTTCTGTACGTCTGGAGATTAATTATCGTCGTGTGGAATCCTAAACTTATCCATAAAAAGTCTCTGAAACATCACCATAGCTTGTATAAGATCACATAATAAAGATAAGAATCCACAACTGATAATCCTTCTTCCATAGAAATAGTTATTGATTCAAAAATCATCATGTTTCACTGTCTATCTAAGTAAATATTATTGACTAGATCTCTGGGATTTAGAAATAACCGAGATTTATTTGCAATGATCCGTAGTTCACACCGTCAGATCTCGAGTTTTTCTCAAATCTTTTACTCAGCTTCGATTGATATTGACGTTTATATTTGTAGGAAAGATATATTGTTTACTTTTCTTCTTCTATATATATATAAATATACTTAAAGTGTTTACAGTAATCCATGCTGATCGTATGAATAAAGAAAACATAAATGATTCGAACTTTAATATATAAAAAAGTCTAAGACTTCAATATAAACAAAATCATTGTCAGCGTCTGTCTAATGGAGAAAAAATCTTGATAGAAGATTTAATAATTGACCTCGTACAGCTGATACTTGCATATGCCCTTTGAAGATAAATAAACGAATAAATCAATAATGTTTATCTAGATGATGTTAAGACCTTTTCAGTTAAAAAATGCTTTTGTTAGAAAAAGTTTTATTCTTTCTATTTAGATCATATAAATATACTGATTATCGTGAATTTGCATGTCCAATTTGTCGAAAAAAGACTGCAATTCCAACAGGTGGTGTTCACAAGTTACCAGACAATTTTCTTATTGCTGGTTTATCCGAAATGATCTCACAAAAAAGTTCAAATTCTAATGGTTCAATAAAAATTTTAACAAATTGTGAAATTTGTAAAGCTGTTCATGATCGTGAACGTGAAGCAACATCACGTTGTCTTGAATGTCAAAAATTTCTCTGTCGTCATTGTGTACAAGCTCATCAAACAATAACAGTTACACGTGATCATTCAATTTATGAATTAGAAATTGAAAAAGATATTTTATGCAAAGTAAATCAATCAATATTTATCTTATTTTATTTTTCATCTTTGTTTTTTCTTAAGCATCATCCAACGGAATTTGTTCGATATTATTGTGAACAATGTGAAACATGTATTTGTATTGCTTGTACATATGTTGATCATCGTGATCATGAATTAGCTGATTTTCGTGCAGCTGCTGCTAATCATAAAGCATATATAAATGAATGTCTTGATGCATGTAAAACACGTATGAATGAATTAGAAGCATATTTAAGTATAATACGTCGATGTGATGCCAATATAGCACAAATAGAAGCAAGTATTCATGCATTAGCAAGTACATTTGAAAAATCTTTACGTATAAAAGAACAAGAACTTGTTGAACAAATATCTGAATTATATGGTGAAGAAACAAATGAATTTATAAAACGTCGTGATGAATTAGATGAATATTATGAACAGATTAAAAATACATGTTCATTAACTGAACTTGTTATACATGGAAAAGATATTGAATTATTATTAGTTAAAAAACAATTAATGGAAAAATTCCGTGAACTTGATGATGTTGAATTAGATCCATTACCAGAGAATATTTGTATGAGACTTGATTTTCAACCTGGACAATTACATTTAGGTACATTAAAAGTATGTGAAATGACACCAGTGGATGATGATGAACAAGAGGGAGAAATAGAAGAAGAAGAAGAGGGAGAAGAAGTAGAAGGAGAAGGAGAAGGAGAAGAAGGAGAACGAGAAGCAGAAGAAGAAGAAGACCGAGAAGAAGAAGTTGGAGATGAAATTAAGGAAGAAGAACAAGAAGTTGAAATTGAAGATGAAAATGAAAATAAATCAACAAATGACGACGCTGAAATCACTTCAAATACAAATTCAGAACCTATCAAAACATTTGCTTCAATAGCCATTCAAACAGAAGATGTATCAACGACAACACAATCTGTACAGGTTAGAATCATTTTAATATTTCTCTTGATTGAATTCATCGAGTTAAAAAAACGTTTTGTTTTCATAATTTAATCTTCTATTTCTAGACAACGGAAGAAACATCTTCTACTCATGAATTTAATTTTGAAAATGGTAATGCACCAAGATCACCATTACCAGTCGAAGAAAATGGTTCTCTTTCACCCACAGCTTTAGCAACATCTACTTCTGCACCTGCATCTATATCTTCTGATAGTAATGGTAATATTTACGAACAAAGTAACAAATTATCACGTCGTGTTCGTCGTTTACTTAAACCAACATGTAGTGTAGCTGTTTTACCCAATACCGATGTAATTATTCTCGATTGTGAACAAAATCTTGCATCAATACTTGATAAAAAAGGCAAATTTAAATATTGTTTTACATCAGAAATTCCAGCAACAGAACGTAAAGGTTTTGCTGTATCTGGTTTTTCTTCAACAGCTAGTATTAGTACTGCATCAGCAGGTTCAAATCGAACTGTTCGTATACCTACACAACAAGGTATATTATGTATTAAATTGAAAGGTGAACGTGTTAGTGAATTACCATTTGGTTTTACTGTACATGCTTTCAATTCAATTTCAGAAAATGACAATTAAGAATTAATTATTATTATTTCGTAAAGCGTTTTTGGATACATGATTATTTGTTATCAAAATTTTTGTTAAACGAATATTTGACGGATTTGCTACATATACAAAATAATATATTATGTATATCATTTTTTTAAAAGCGATTATTATTGACTTGATTGGATAATATTTTAATAATTGAATAAAAATTAAATTGGTGCACGAGTAAAATATTGTTTCTATACTTAGATTATCTATAGAAGTAAGTATTGATATTTTTTCGAAACATTGAGTCATTAATAATGGCTCTATAATTATGTTTTTGTTTTCTTATGCATTGATAATTTTTCTAATTATAATATTTCAGAAGAAATATTCATCTGTTCGTTATTCTATAAATATATAATTATATCTGTCATCAGAAATGATTGATTTTATAATATATTACTATGTAAAGAAATAATTTCTATGAATATTTTGTAGTTTATTCTAGCTGAGCTCATTTAATCATATAAACAAAAGAAAATATACCGATAAATATACAAATATCTTATAATAAAACAAAAGACTAGTTTAGTTCTTGTAAACTTTGGTCATAATTTTCAATAGCATCAGCTAATGCTGTAGCATATGACGCTGGAAAATGATCAAGCCACATTCTTGGATGAACAATAAGTTGTGAAAATCGATTATATGTACTCATACAAGCACGATAAGAAATTTTACGTGAAAATAAACCGACACGATTTATTGAATATAAATGTATGATTGTTCCGGGCATAATTAAATGTGCACGATCAGCAGGAGTTTGATTTAAAACAAGTTCTGAAATTGTTGAATCAATATTTAATGTCGTTGAAGGTGAAAATGACTCATCCATCAATGCTGGAGTTTGACTATTTACTGAATGAAAAGTTTGTCGACGTTTTCTTAATGTTCCAAAAAGTGTCATTGTTAATATACGTAGTTTATTTCGATTACATTTATCTAATGCATCAATAATACGATCACGTAAATGTTCCAATGAACGAATTGATGCACGTCCTATCATATCAACATCAACGACATATGAATGAATAAAATGACGTGTTGCCATAGCTAAATTTTCCGATAGAACAGAACCAGGCATAGCTATTCCATAACATTTCAAATGTGGATAATTTGGTTTGAATAGAATAGCAAGAATAGATGCAATACCAGCACCAAGTGAATAACCACATATAATTAATTCATAATCAGGATATTTGATAAAGATATCTATTAAACGTGTTGATATATCATCACGAATGTAAGTAGCTGCTGAATGCATACCTTTTAAGAAATAAAACATTTAGTATAATTTAAATCATTTTTTCAATTAAATTAGTTTAACAATCTGAAGTTTTGAGGGGAACCGGAACGAGGAGCACGCAGGCATCTGAGCGTAGGCGAGGATGCTGTTGCAGAAAAGATAACATCACTAGATTCCTATATCCATGTCAGTTCATATTTGCCGTGACTATTTTTATTTGCGTCGATATTATGGACCTAAACATTCGTGTGCTCGTCGTTCACTGACCCTTTAAGATATAGTTCTAAATATTTATACTATTGACACACATATCATATCTATTTATGGCATGCGTTTATAAATTCTTTTTTCTTCTCAATAAAATAAATGATTCTTCATCGACAAGTCACAGTTGGTATTGCAATACTCTATATACATATATGTATAATATAACATTTCTCTGTATTCTATTTAATCTTACAAAGTATCAGTTATAAAAATGGTATCATATTCTAGATGATTATTACTCAATGTTGTCTATTCATGAATACATAATATTACTAAACAAATATTATCAAAACTATTATTTTTCGATTTCTTATAGATTAAATTTCCATTTATATAATCATAAGTCTTAGTTCTCAAAAATTTAGTATTGATTAGAAAACATATCTTTTATAAAACACGATCTAAAGGTAGAAACTTGTACCCACCCACATCCTCAACTATCTTCTTGAACGTAGAAACAACAGTTAGGTCGTGTTTCACATTTTCATCACCCTTATGGATTGCGCGAACAGTTGTTCTTTATCACATATGTCTTATAACATCTCTCTAATCGTATTCGTTATGAAAAAAACTAGAATTTACCACTATGACAATGTCCATTTCCAAATAATTCTGTTTCTAAAACATCTTCAACAGCATTTATATCAGTTAATATATCAGTTGCACTTAATGTTCCACGAATAGATACAATAATTTTTTTCTTTTCACCATCAGCTGCAATATAAAATGGAGCTAGAAAAAAAAAACAAAACGATCGAAATAAATCAGTCATCAATGTATTCTATATATATTTTCATACCACGATGAAATGCACCGAGAAAATTAGCATATAAAATAACAGGTTTCTGTTTACGTAATAGATATGTCAATGTACTATATTGACTTCCACATGGATCATTTAAACTATCTGGATTTTGACAACAAGGTGAACAACAAGCACAACAAAAACCAATTGTTCTATTAAAAATTAAAGAAAGTTTTTTAATTGATCATCTATTCATTTTTATTTTACCTGAAACGCATTGCAAAAAGAATTCGTGGTAAAAATGTTAATCGATATTGATATGCTATGGAAAACCTTGAGAATAGAAAGAAAAAGTCAAATACTTCTATTGAAAATTTCTTTTTTTCTCTACCATCCAAAAGCAGATTGTGCATATGAATTATAATAAAGACCTTCTTTAAGAAGTTCTAATGGCGCAGTTTGCATAATATCAAGTTGACGTTCTTCAAGTACATCTTCGTGTTGTAGAAGTATAAGACCAGCAGCAACATCACTTGGTACAAGATCAAATCTTTCATCATCAATTAAATATTGTAAAGTTTTAACAATATTTTTTATATCTGATGATTGTCCACCTTAAGAAATAAAATTGAAAGAAAAAGATATAAAAAATCTCTTTGTTTGTAATAATTACCATAACCTCTTCCACAACAAAAAATAAGTTTTATTCTCATTTCCCATTTTTTTTCTGGACTTATAACACCAGTTAGATCAATAAAAAATGCTAAGATTATAAATAAAGCTATAGGAACAGTCCAACTTAAAATAATTGTCGCGATAATTGTTGCACGTAAAATAATAGCACACATATGAAATACTCGTATTATCAAAATTAAACCCAGAACATTAATACTTATATCAATTGGTACGATAATTAATCGTGTATAGATTAATAATGGCATATGACGACGTGGTCGTGTATTTTTTACAGGTGTACCACGTAAACTTATTAAAGCCATAATTGATGCAAGAATTGTTATTACTGCATAAACACTTAATAGTGGATAAAAATAACCATTATAAAATGTCGATGGACATGTTGAATCGGGTGATTCATCTTTGATTCGGAAGACAATAAATGTTACTAATAATGGTAAACGAAGGCCGATATCAATTAATGATGGTATTGTTAAATCATCAGAAGCAAAATTAAAACGACGACCAAATAAACGAATACCAGGCATTATTGAAAATATCCTTGAAAAATTATAAATAGAAAAATTTTAAAAAAAAACGAAATTGTTTGTCTTTTACTATGACAGATTACACGAACATAAACAGAAATGAAATAAAAAAGAAAATAAAACCATACACATGACAATTTGTCAACAAATGTGTGTCTTCACCTATTTTATTTTTCTCTGTTCTTTTAACAAGCGTAGTGAATAATAGTGACGTACACTAATGATAAACAAGGGAGAAAAAAGATAATATTCCAACAAGTTATTGCACTAAAATGTTCGACATATTTTCTCCTACAATAGTTTTACAATTATGACGAATCATTTTCGAAATCAATTTCGTTATTTTCATTCTACAAAAAATTCTTTATGATGACAGCGACTAACAATCACATATAGTTTTTATTATTAATAGAAATAAATTAGCTTATAATTGAATAGTTAACAAAAAACTTTTTTTCGAATATTCATTTTATTATAAAAACAAAAATTAAAACACTCATAGAATACAACGTGTTTATGCATGAATTAAATAATATTTCACTTTCACTCGATAAAGAAATGACAATTTTGAGATTTCTGATTATCATAAAATGAAGTCAGATGAATCATTAGCTGTAAAATATTTGTTAGAAAAAATGATACCTCATTTTTGCTTTTTTTTCTCGTTTTAATTTACCTTAAAATGTGAAAACAAAAGGTATCAGTTCAATCTCGATATTTGCGATACAAAATGGCGACTTTTATGCGTCGAGGGAAGTATATAACAAAAAAAACTCGCGAAGGAATACTGAAATAATTTACTTCGCATCGGATTAATAAATAAAAAAATAGGTATTTTGTATTTAATTAAATCCAAATCAAAAAATTATTAAAAAGTTTATGATTAGTACTATTTGCTTTTCTTCTTCTAATACTGAAATTTATTTTGACTTACTTTTATATTAGAGTAAAAAGCGTATCATCTAAAACAATTATATAAAATCAGAACAGAAAAAGCTGAATAAGTATCAGATTTTCATGCAAGAAAAAAAGTTGTTCTTTATTCATTCTACTAAAAATATTATTCATATCAGTCAAAAACAAAAGATTATTTTACATAAATCACATAAAATTTTTTCAAATGTATTTTTAATAAGATAATATTACATCGTTGAGACCAAACTAATGCTTTTTTTCTCTTCTGATAACTATCTCTTTATGCTTCTTTTTAAAGAAGAAAAAATAAAAATAGGTTAAACTCTATTTTATTTTTAAAGTCAAAAATATACACAAATAATATACATCATAAAATAAAACAATATATGTCTCATAAAACTGAGATTCATAATAAAAATAAAATATGAATTGTTTTTAGTTAACTCTGTCTAAATGTTCCATATCATTAGCTTGAATATGTGAAAATAATTCTTGTCGTAATTTCGTGCTTGATACACCATTTGTATACGGTAAAAATTTAACTGGCATTAATTCTTCAACAACATGTCGAGATGGAAAATCACCCATATCATCACCACGTACATAAATTGCCGTTTCATTTTCACGTAAATGTACAATACATTTTACAAAATTTGATGGATCTGTACCAGAGACGCAATAGACTTCATCAGCATAACGTTTCACATTAAGCATACGTGTTTCTGTTCCATCAACAGGTACACGATTTTTTAATTTATGAATACTTCGACTATCATGTACACCAACAATAACTTCACGGCCAAATTGTCGCATACGTTGAAGAAGAAGTCGATGACCTTCATGAAATAAATCAAAACAACCAACAGTATAAACTTTATCAGCACGTCCATCAATCCATATTGCAGGTAATGATGCACTACGTTGATATGTATGTGAACATTCATTTTGACCTTCAGATGAAGATGTCGATCCACAACGTTCTTTCGTTTCATCTTCAGAGTTATTTGTAATACTTGAAGTACTACTTGCAGGTGATGATGTAAGACTTGATGGAATATTTTTCTGTTTTTCTTGTTCATTCTATATTAAAAAGAAAATTATTTAATTAGAAAAAAAAATATTATTATAAATTACTTTTCGCATTGAAGAATCAAGTGTCATTGCACGATTACGTTGTTTTGTATCAGTTGATGAATGAAAAGCATTAACAACTGCAATTGTTTTTTGAACAGGTGATATTGTTTCTGATGATGATGATGCATCAAATGTGACAGTTTTCTTTTCTTCTTTGATCATTTTTCGTGCTTCTAATTTTTTCGTTAATGATACACAAGCCAATCGAATAGTCAATGAAAAACAAATAATACCGATTATACCAGCTAAAAAAATATTTTAAATTAAATAATTGAATAAGAATTTAAATTTATTCAACTTACACCAGTGATCAAATGGTGAAAGATAACCAGTTGATAAACATAAAAATGCTAAACCCATTGATTCAAGTTTTTCCTTTAATTTTCCTTCCATAACAGCTGATGTTGCACTTTTAGATGATGTTCTAAAAATAATTTTTTTTATAGATTTATTTAATCTATCGAGTATTTTAACATACGTTTTTCCAAGAAGAGCAGCATGAAAATAATCTTGTATACGAACAACACCAATAGCTGTTTCAAGACTAATAATTGTATAACAAAGTAAAACAAAAGCAATTGAAAGAAAATAAGATGTTTGTTGAAAATGTGTTTCTTGTAAAATTGTCCAAAGACAAACAATATTAACAATTTTATCACAAAATGCATCCATAAAACCACCCAATAAAGGATCATCAATATTGTCACCATAAATACGTTTATGTACTTTAGCAACAATACCATCAACATGATCAAGAAAATCATGAAAAAGAACTAATAAACAAGCCAGGATTGGATAATCATATCTAAAATTTGAATTAATTCATTTCTAGCAAAGACGCCATATTTAATAATACACTTACTTAAGACACCAAGCAATTGGAATTATAAGAAGTGTTCGTGAGTATGTAACAATATTAGCATTAAATATCGTTATACTTTTATCACCAATTCGAATGATACGTGGAATACAAGCGATATATGGTGAAAGATAATTTTGAAGTGGTGTATACATATATAAATCGTACCATAAAACCTATTAATTAAGATTATTAATTTTATATGAACAAATAATTAATAAACTAACCATATGAAATAGAATAGATTCGAAGACATGATTGACAGTTGTCAATAAAGTCAATAATAATTGAACGGATGATAATAATCCGTGAAAGTCTATAAATAAAATATTCCTATATATATATTTACAAAGTAAAGACTACATACTAAAATGTATATTTATAGTTTGAATTGTCATTTTGTTAATGAATTATGAAGAGTATGAAAAGATATGTGAAAGCATCTCTTTATATAGTATTGAGATCTATTTACTTTTTTTCATCGGGTTGAAAGACCACACATATAGATAAGAAACAAAATGTAGGGATATAGATGAATACGACATCAAAATGCTCTAGATTTTACATAGAATTAGGTCAGATTCGAAACTTCAATTTTAAAATATCGTCCGACTTTCAAAAAATTTACAATTTTTAACATAGTTTCAATGCTCTACATTCTAACACAGACAAAATCAAAGCATCATCTCTCACCTCAATGATGATTTTCATCATAAAAATACAATTTTTTCTGAAAGTATATATATATATTTATTTATTCGTAAAATATTAAAATAAGCATATTTTTAAAATATATATGATAAAATGGAAAAAAAAAACTTTAGAACAATATTGAGTATTCATACATATATCACCGAGATAATCTGACGCACACACGAGACAATACAAAAAAAATGAGCAACAATAAATCACTCTCTCTACGTATAAACACGAATAACATCGTCGATACGTTTACGACAAACAGGACATGGATCTTTTCTATTATATAATAAACGTGCACATTCATAACATGTTACAAAATGATTGCATGAACGAATAACAGAATTTCGTGGACGATCCATACAAATTGAACAATCAACATTCTCATTTGATAATGAATTATTACTTGCATTATTTCCATGATCAACTAAATTTACAAGAAAATATTTTATGACACAAAAGAATAATAATATAAATAATTTACTTAAATCACTGCGAGCTCCACCATGACTAATTCTATTCGATGATGTTAATTCAGGTAATGTTCGACCACGGACAACCATTATACCACTACTTTTTTTCAATGATTCAACACGAGCTAAAAATAAGAATAATTGAAATTTTATATTTTGGAAAAAACCAACGATTACCTTTTCGTCGAACTTCTCGTTGTTCTTCATCGAGTATTAATGGATCAGATGATGAACGAAAATAAAGAACTTTATCCATTTCTTCAAGTAATTTTCTTACTTTAAATAAGAAATTACATGAGATAAGAAAAAAAGAATTTTTAATTAAGAAATATATTACAGGCACCAATTGTTTGTGTACTAGTTGAGTTTGATGGATTAAGTTCAACTTCAGGCACATAATAAACTGGAAAAAGAAAACGTGCACCAACGAAATTCTAAATGAAGAAAATATTTTAATTTCGAATTAACTTTATTAATTGACTTACTTCTTTATGAGATAGATTTTCTGATATTTTGTCTAAATCTAACCTCATTGTATTTGAACATATGATAACACCAGCTGGAGCAAATTGAGCAGCCTCTAAATTAATAGTTTATTTTTCAAATCAAGATTCTAACGGAAGTAAGAAAAAAAAAGTAGAACATATTCGTTTTGACCTAATTTTCTTTTTAAAAAATGTAAGATAAATTTCATGATGACGACATTCTCAACGAATTTTTTTTACCTACTACACAGTAGACTTTGCCTATGAAAGTATTTATCATTCTTCTTGTGTTTTCGTTTCTTTCGAGAAAGAAAGAAAGAAAGAAATAGCATAGTTATTTTTACTTAATAAGTATGTCAGTATACAGGTAAACTGTAAAAAATTCTTTTTTTAACCTAGTTTTATTATATTCTTACTTTCAATTAAAGCTTGTTTAAGTTCGATATTTTCAATAATACATTCAAATATAAACTCAACATCTTTAACAGCATCTTCAAGTCGATTTAAACATAAGATTTGACCCTGAAGAAATTACAGAAAATAAATTCAATGTAAATTATCTTTATATAAAACTCACTAAAAATTTCGGCATTTCTATAAGACCATCACGATATAATTGATCTTCATCATGATGTATACGGTCACATGCACTATCCAGTTGTTTTAAATCACTATCAAAAATCTTTATTATATGACCATAATAGGCAAAATTGCCTAAGAAAGATGATAATTAATTTTAAGAGAAACAATGAACAAAAAATAAAATAAACCTGCAATCTTTAAACCCATTGTCCCACATCCCAATATAGCAATTCGAACCATACTTATTTCTGTGATCTGTAAAAAATCATGTGTATATATACATATATGAATATAGTAGAGATATTCTTTTTTGTTTGTTTTACTCATCCTCCTTAGCTAACTTTACTTAGCCAGATGGATACAGTGGAAAAAAAAGAGAAATAGAGAATTACATGAAAAAGATAACAAGCAAAAAAAAAAGAAACAATTGTTCCGTCTGTATTTTATGTCTTTTTTTTAATCCATCATCATAGCAGTACAATAGAAGAAGTAATACAACAAAAAAAAAAGAGAACATGCACAAGAGAAAAAAAAACGACAACAAAATTCGATTATACTTCTCTTCTCTGGGTTTTTTTCTCATATATATATGTATGTATATATATAAGGTTATATGTTAAATATATATATATATATCACACAAGATAGACACTATCAAGATTTGGAAGATGTATTTGCGACTGAAGGTAGATCGCTAATACGCTGTTCTGGTAAAAGACGTTCAAAAAATGGATGTCGAAGAGCATCAACTAATGTTATTCGTCGTTTTGGGTCATATTCAAGCATTTTTTCAATTAATTCAAATAATTGTTGGTGATCTGGTTCATCACTCACCATATATCGCTAAAAAGAATATATACATAATTATTGAAATTCAAAATAAAAGAGAAACTTACTCGTAAAGGTTTACAATTTTCACGTACATAACGACCAGCTGAACTACGTTCATCCCAATCTAGTCGACCATGATAGAAATATTTCGTTTTTCTAAACAAAACAAAAAAAAAGATTAAAATATTTTCTAATCAAAATTTTTTATTTATTTACTTTGATTGTTTTGCCATTCGATAAGGAATCGAACCAAGTATTCGTTCCATCATGGCTAAATGTTCTTTATTATCATGCGTCTATTAAATAATAGTCAAAAATAAAATAAGAGAAAGCAAAAATTGATAACATACTTGAAAGAGAGTAAAACCAAGATAAAGTTCAAATAGAATACATCCAACACTCCATACATCACATGGTTGAGACCATCCTAATTCAAGTATAACTTCTGGCGCACGATAATGTCGAGTCGAAACAATAGTTGAATGATGTTCCCAATCAAATGTTGCTGAACCAAAATCAATTACTTTAATATCTGTTCGACGAACAACACGTTCATCTCTTCGCTAGAAAAAGAAATAAATTTATTTTATATTTCATTTCATTTTCATCTTAAACTTACTTTTCGATGATTATAAACAATATTATAATCGGAATTAACAAAAAGAATATTTTCAGGCTAAAATAAATACAATTTTTAAAGTAAATATTTCTTTGTTTTCTCTCTCTCTCTCTCTTACTTTTAAATCTGTATGTGTCAAAGCAATTTCATGAAGAACTATTGAAATCAAACACAAACATATATATATATACATAAGAGAAGAAATTTTAATATTTACATTTAACAGCAAGACATAATTGATATGAAACATGACGAACTTGATCAATAGGATATGGAATATAATTATTTTCTTTTAAAAAATCAAATACACTTAAACCTAACATATCAAAAGCAATACAAATATGACCATAATAATCAAATGAATCAAGTAATGCAACACATAAACTAAAATAAAATAAAATATATTATTTTTAATTTATTTTCTCTTAATTATCTTACTTAACACCATCGGGATCTTTTTCATTGATTGTTTTAAGTACATTAATTTCTAACCGGGCCGCTTCACGATATTTTTCAACATTTTTGATTATTTTTAATGCTAACCGTGTACTACCATCACTAAAATATATAATAAAAACAATTAAAAAGTAAAAAAAAAAACATTTCTTTTGTTATTATATTTACCCGCGAAGATCACGAACTTCAACGACTTTACCAAATGTGCCTTCGCCAAGTGTTCGACGAATTTCATCTAATTGAATATATATATATCGATTTAGATTTTAATCATATATTCTCATGATAATTGAGATATAATAATAGTTTTGTTTAAATTTTCATTGACGACGAAAAAAGGTCACGTTTATATTTTAACAGTAATGTATGATTTCTAGATATTATCATTCAAAACAATCTGTCCGACAGTGAGCACTTCTTATTAACTAATCGCGATATGAACACGATTGACTTTTACTAGGTTATAAATCAACGAACTATAATGACTTTTTTTAATATTTATATATGTAGGAATAGATAGAGATATCAATACATGCAATGTAAATACGAAAATGATAATAATCATGTCAAATGAATTATCTCGAGTATTGAAAAAACTCAAAGAATTGTATTACATAGATGATGAAAGAGTAGAATAATCGGTCAACTTACAAAAATAATTTCGATTTCATTAATCAAAGTGTGTTAATTTAGCTTTTTAGTTTATATATGTTGAAAGAAAATAACTAATCTCAAAGATTAAAGGAGACAAAGCCTAATATATATATGAAATGTGTGAATATATGGCTTAAGTGTATACATTAAATAATTAACTATAGAAAATTCTTATTTCTCTCTTCTATCAATTATAAATATATTATAAATAAAACTTACATTGATGATGTAAAATATCACCTAAAATAAAAAACAATTAAATTTCGTTTAAATAAAAATATAATCTCTTTATATAGTCTACCTGGAACGTAAATCAAATGTCCTTCATCATCATCACGAATATTGACATGGCCCGAATCGCTTTTGTCTCGTCGATTCTATACATATAATAATCATTTTTATAGACAAATTATTTAATACTTTTCAGATTGAACATACACACGCACATATACTTACTTTCACTTAATGTGTCTCCTTCAGGGGAAAAAATCGGATCATTATTACATCATCTTACTTTACTAATAGGAGAAGAAGATGAAGATGAAGAAGAAGAATAGAAATGAGAAGAAACAAATTACATAAGTATAATATGTATGCTTCTATAATAAAGATGTGCTCCGTTGATTTTAAATATAAGTTAAATGGAAAGAAGGTCAAACATCTGTACACGTGTCGAGCTTTTAAATAAATATGACACATACATATACATACATCAACGACAATTTAAGATGTGTACGTGTTATTTTTATTGTCCATTGTATATTTTAGTTATTCCTACCTCGACGATAAGCGTTGACGATGGTATTGCATTAACAACAGGAGGTGTTTTGATTGGACTACATGGATGATAAATTGTTGATTGTGTTGATGAAAGATTTTGTCGATGAATATAATATTCATTGGTACTTATAGAAGCATTTGATTTACTTGATGAACTTGTTGTAGCAATAGAAGAATTCGATGAATGATGTGGTAGTGGGTGAGTTGTAAGATAATATCTTTGTGATGATGATGATGATGATGATGGTTCTGTTTGATGTTGTTGAACATCTTTTAATACAACACGAAGACCACTATTGAATTGTATAAGTCGCATAATTTGAATTTATGATTTTTCTTGCATTAAATTATATAATATTTATGAAGAAAATCTTTATAAGATTTTTTTCTTTGAAATATTACCTTCATGAACCCAGAGAATATATTGAAATATGTATATATATATACATATAGATGTAAAATATCGATTTAAAAAGAATGAATATAATAGATGAATGTATGCGTATATATTGTACGTTGATTCACCGATATGGATATGAAGAGAGTATTTATGTATATGTATGTATGTATGTATATGAGCGAATAACAATCTTTGTCTTTCCTCTTCTTTCTTCCGCCACCAAAAACTTTAGACGAAGGTCGTCGTCGTCAGTTTGTTCGCCCGAAAATTATTAATCAATTCGACCAAGTGACCACTTCTATATCAATATGTATATGTGTTCGTTCTCTCCCTTTTCTTCATTTTTTTCTTCTTCTTCTTCTTCTTCTTCTCTTCTTTTTGCTTCTCCGTCTTCTTTATCATTTGTCTATTAGAGTTCATGCATACAATATTCTAGCATAAGTACGACGAATGTTCACCATCTTTTTTTTTTCTTTCCGACTGATCATCTGGACGACGGAAAGGGCAGTTGCAGTAGTAGCAGCAGCAGTAGTAGTAACAGCAGTAGCTCCTATTCTTCTCTTTCTCTCTCGTTTTTTTTCTTCTCTTTTTGTTCTTTCTCTTTCTTTCTTTCTTTTTCTCTTCGCCTTTTCAAGAATATTGAAACTATACTACTAGTACTGCACCTAATACCACCACTACTACTACTACGACTACGACTACAATTCTTCTATTCAGCAAACAATTTTAAATATGAGAATATCCGAGTAGAAGTAAAAAACAAAGAAAGAAGTAGGATTAAGTTGACCATTGACTATTTCACATTGTCGTATGAATATGTTTAAGTATATGCCATACTGTAGGTAGCCGTTTATTGCATAAGAAGAATACAAAAAAATTATTGTGGGGTCAATTTCCTTTTTTTTATTTCTATGTGAAGCATACTTATATGTATATATATATACACATATACACGCGTTTGGCATGACACATCAAGGTACTATTAAGTCTCTTTGTTAGTTAGTATATATATTCGAAAGTATAAAAATGTCACCCTGATATACTTATGAAGAATTTGAATTAAGTTATCAAAAAAGAAAATGAAAGTAAAAAGAACTTACACTTCGATTTGGTGTTGAAGTTGATCTTTTATTATGATGATGATGATGATGGTGATGATAACTATTATTCGAATGGTTATTATTTAAATTATTGAGTTTCTTATGTCGTTTCGAGTTCGAAGAAGTGCTTGTGATACTTTCAGCACGAAGAATACCACTGTTGTTGTTGTTGTTGTTTCCACCGCGTCGATTTTCAGATGAATCATGTCGATTGTGCCGGCGCCTACGATGACGTTCAAGTGATGAGCTAGTGTGTATATTATTGCGAGGTGGTGTTGAAGAACTGCAAACACATGCAAAAAGATTGATACATGCAAAAAATTAAAGAATATATATATATATCTATATAAGGTTTAATCTATCTCAAATAATATCTAGTAGCACAGCAATCAGGTTTTCTCCTTAAAATGCATACGGATAGAAACACATACACACACGCACACGCAGACAAGAACACGAAATTCGCACCCATCCTCAGTGGTCGCTGGTACAATTGATCGAGATGGAGATTGTTCTTTTCCATTGTGTGAAGGAGTAAGCTCAAGAAGAGAATTTGTTGTTGATTTTAATGACTGTTGCTGCTGTTGTTGTTTGTTTAGAGATGTCAGAGAAGCAGATAATGGTATAACAATAACAGGGGGAATCTTATTATTATTAGTAGTAGTAATAGTATTGTTAGTCTGTGGACTAGGTGATAATTGAGCATTAGGTGTGGAAAAAATAATGGTATCAACAACACTAGTACTTATTGGAACAGGTGGCGGCGGTGGTGGTGGTGGTGGTGATAATGCTGGACTAAGTGTTGGAATTACTGGAATAGGTGGTGTTGTATGAAGTGATGGAACAATAGTTGTACTTATTGTTGTTGGATTAGGAGAAGCTGAAGGTACTGGAGATGGTGATGTCATTGCATGAGTATTAGTAATAATAACATTTGAACTTTCTCCACTAATTGTTTTATCTTCATCATTTAATGATAAATTTTCAAAAGTATTAACAATAGGTTCTGTTAGATGAGAAAGACCTGTACTACTAGTACTAGTACCACTCTTAGCAAGTAAATATTTTTTAATACGTCGCTTAGATGAACTAGGTGTTTGATAACTTGGATATGAAGTAATTGCTGTATATGATGAATTTTTATCAGTAACCGCTGTAGGTTTACTCATATAACTATGATCATCAAAAGTACGATAAGAATTCAAAGGATTTGTTGTTATTGTTGAACCAATATAAGGTGAATTACTTGATCCAATTTGCGATGATGATGATGCTGATGATATTTCTGTATTAGTATGTATTGGAGTTGTTATATAATTTGAATCATGGTATGTCGGACGTGTATGTTCTTTTGATTTTGCACGTAAATAATCATAATTGTATGTTGGATGTGATATCGTTGCTGTTGCTGTGTTGTTAGCCGTTGTCGATGATGATGATGATGATAGTGTAGGTGGTGGAGGTACAATTGGTTTATTAAGATTATCATTGATTGTGGATGAAATTGGATTTGATGGTAAATGATAATGATAATAATGTGAATCTTTACGTGTTGGTGTTGTTGGTGGAATAGCTAATGATTGATAATCATCAATTGGATTTGTTATTTGATCAATACGTTTATATGAAGTAGCTTTATGTAAATTAGTTGTTGAACGATTTTTTGAATCAGTTCGTCCAACCATTGTCTCTTTAATACGTGTATTAAAAACTAAATCTTTTAACTGATCAATACGAGCTTTACGTTCACTTGGATTAGAAAATTTTTCTTCATGAGTTAATGGTGGAGGTGGTGGTGGCGGCGGCGGCGGTGGGGGTGATTGTAAACGTGATGATGATGATATATGCATTGTTAAAGCTCCACCTGTATATTTTTTTTTTGCTCGTGATGAAGATATTGGTTCTTTAGCAAGATCATGTGAAACATAATGTGGAGTATATTGTTGACGGTAACTATTTGACTCATGATGATGATTATGTGGATTCATACTTGTACTATGTACAATGGGTTGTTGTTGAGATTGTATTTGACTTTGTTGTGGTTGATTAACTGAACTACGTCGTTCACTTGGTGCTCGATCTTCATTATAAAAACTTACTAATGATTGTGCTTGATGAAATGTTGATGCAAATTTTTTTTTCAATTGTCTTGGTTTAGTTATATGACACCAAATAGGCGCTATGTTAGCATATTTCCGAGCTAGTTGACTCGGTGATGAATAACTCCATGTAGGAGGAGTAATTGTAGGTGCTGCTGTTAATGATGAACCATAATATAATGAATTACTATTATTATTATTATTTAGATTTGTATTTGATGATTGTCCAGATATATTTGAATTATTATTTACTGAATTTATTGGCATTGGTCGAAGGCGATATGCGTGACCGGTTGTGCCTGAACTGATATTGCTTGTCATTTGCTGATTGTCTTACAGCATTAGAATATGTATATGTATATATGCTCGTAGAAGGGGAAAAGAAGAAGAAGAAGACGACGATGCTCTCTACTCGTTTTTCCTCATGATTAGATAAGAATGAATAACGGACTGAGAGAAAACTACGCAAGAGATATGCATAGATGAATGTATGGAAGAATAAGAAGAAAGAGACAACGCCTCTTTCTTATTCTTTACCCTAGCAAAAGAAAGAAAAAAAGGAGAAGGAAGTGTTGATCTACAGAAAACTTGTATAGTTGATATTTTTTTTCATTCCTTCCGTTCTTTCTCTTTAGATATCCGCAAAAGAATTGATATTATGTAGGCGATAGATTTTCTCATATGTTACGTTCTTTTATTCTTCTTCCCATCATATATATATAGAATCGATATACACATAAAAAGACAGAAAGAAAGAAAAGGATGAAGATATATATTCAAAGTAATTATATTTATGCTAAAGACAGATATACAAACTACGCGTTAGCTAGCACTAAACGTGTACTACGTACATACAACAACGGCGACGATGAAGAAGAAGCAGCAGCAGAAGAAAAAGAAAATTGTTATCCTCAATGCTCTTTTTATCCGCCTACAGTATATACTATTTATTTCTAAGTATTACTTTACAAAAGAAAAAGAAGAATATTCTATAGTTAGTTTATAGGGAAAAGAAGTAAATGATGTTGTTATTGCCTCTATATTTACGATATCGAATAAGAATTAATTTCTTTTCTGTTAGTATAATAAGATGAATATCAAACAAATGCATGGTGTTTCATATACACAGAATTTTTATGATTAAGATATAGACAAAAAAATATTATTATTTTCCTGCTGTGTAACTGAAGATGAGATAAATTGTTCATATAAAACTAACTTTAGATATATAATATACACACAAATAGATCTTTATTTTTTAAACATACTTTATAAAGTAATTATTATTATTGTTCAGTATAAATCGTTCGAATTTATCACTTTTATGATGTCGATGTTTTTTACGATGATGACGAGAAATATTTTGTTGTTCATATTGTCGTGTTAGATAGTCTATATCCTCACCAAAATGAAATGAGGATATTTTACCAATAGTATTTCCATATAATTGCCGACCAACAATCATTAGTATTTTACATCAAGGTAAAAAAAACCAAATGATTCAATTTAGGAAGACGACAGCGTCGATCGATCGATTAATACATACATATGGTATATGATGCAGTTATAAATTTTTCTGCTATTTTTGTGTTATTTATACACAAATTAGGGTCACTAATGAGGATAGGTAAGACAAGGCAGAAAAGAAGGAGAAGAAAAAATAAAAACAAAATAACAGCAAGGTAGATAAGAGAAAGAGAGTGAGAGAGACAGAAAAAAAGTGATTGCTGTGGCTACTCATGCTTATGTATTTCATATAATATCAAAGATGAAATCATTCGAGATAATTTTTATAAATATAAAATATTTTCAAAATAAATATCTTTCCAATCTCATCATGTACTATTTTTCAACAAAGATGACTAAGATAATAATTTGTTTTTTCAAATTCAAGGTTCCATAATAAATATAGATGAGAAATTTTCGTTATTATTATTCTATATTTATACAATTTCAGCTAAAAATACATCAAGAAATACTACTACTACTAAGTAGAATCTTTATCATCTAGATTTATCAATAGGATAAATAATGAATATTATCTAGACATAGAAGAGAAGAAAGTCGATGTATTTGTTTGATTGTTTAGATTCAATAACAAATAGACAGTAAGAAGACCGGTAAATCTGTTACTAAAAATAAAACAATAATTAGTACTTGCCGCGAAATTATCGTCAGTCTGTAGTATATTATAAACTGATTGACTTAATATCCGTAAATATCTATGTCTGGATGAAAAATAATCAAATACAAAAATATGACTCCAACTATTTACAGGTAATATGACACTAATACATTAACTTTATAAGAATTTTTATTTAAATAATGATCAATCAAACTAGTTGTGTTATGTTATTATTTATAGAAGAATTTCATAATAAGAAATGTAAATGAAAATCTCAAAGAATTGCGATAGGAACTAATTATAGAAATATTAAATGAATCATAACAAATAATAACTATCACCCATCAAAGTTTATTTATGATTTGTATCTATCTATTTATAGCTTATAAAAGGTAGTGCCTAAAGCTTTATACTAGTATCATATTACAACATGAAAGATCTTCAGAGATGTATTCGAAATATAAATATTATCTCGAATGATTTCTTCGAAAAATTAACAAAAAAAAAGAACTAACCGTCTTCTTGATCGTGATTTTGATCGTTGACGACGACGATTATGATGTGGTCGTCGTTGTTGTTGTCGGTCATTGTCATATATTCGTTTTGAATGACGATGACGTGAATTTGGTGTATTTTTTCGTCGTTGAGAATCACCTGATCGAGATGATGATGATGTTGTCGTCGATGATGATGATGATGATGATATCGATGAAGATGTTGATCTTGATCGAGTATTTCTTCGTCTATCACATGAATTATTTGCTTCATTATTTATCGATGAATGTCGACGAGTTTTATGATGATAGGATGAACGTGATCGTTCGTCTTCACTATGTCGATCAGATGAATGACGTCGTTTATGACGCGTCATATTATTTTATTATTATTTTTTTTTTCTATGAGAATAATAATCTTCAATAAGAGTTATTGAACAAAAAAAGAAAACAAAATAATATCCATATTTGATTCCATCATCTTTTTTGTTGATCGATAATCATTAGCTAAAACAAACATAATGTTCCAAATGAGAGTATTCCAAACAAAAAAAAAATGAGATTCAAAACAGTTAAAAAAATTAGTTACTAAATTGACAAAAAATTTAAAAAAATAAATGACATAGAAAAATAAAATGAGAAAATAGAAAAATGTTAGTTATTTGATTTGAGCGAGTTTTTTTTATTGTTACAATTAGTTGAGAAATAGATGTAAAGTCGTAAGTAATAAAATAGAAAATAGAGATCTATTAATTGCCACCGAGAACATGACCACGACCACCAAATATTTGTCGACCAGGATTTCTGTCATTATTTTCAGGATCATCTGGACGACGAGCTGTTGATGGTGGTGGTGTACCAAAACCACTCACACTTGCACGATCATTAGGAAAATAACGATATCTATGTAAGAATAGATAAAATATAACTATTCAATATTTTGAAAGTATACATACAGAAAACTTGGTGTTTGTAAAAAATGTGCACCACCAAAATCTTGTGGATATTTAAAAACAAGAAAAAAATATAAATGACCAACAATAATACCACATAATGGTACTTGTAATCTAAATAACAAGAAAAATGTCGTTTATTTTAAATAACAAAGATTAACATACGTATTTGAAATAACCCATCGAAATAATAGAAGAACCCATGGCATATACATTGCTTTAAATTGCATACCAAACCAGAATGACATCATAGTTTCTTTATTCAATTGACACCATATATACATAACACTAAAAATCATTGCTTCCATTAATACCTTTCAAAATCAATAAAACAAAAACAAATTTTTTTCTCGAAATAATAGATATATATTAACTTACAGATATTGATAATATAATACCAAGAATAATATTGCATATCGCAAGGAAAAATAAACAAAATACATAATCAGCTGGTTTACCATCGAAAGTACCTTTTTTGAAAATAAATAAAAAATATTATTAATTTATTGTTTATTAATCTATACTTGTTTCAAGACGAGAACTATATTGGTAAAGAAAATAGAGATTAATTAAATAATCAAAACTCAAAGGATAAAAGAGTAAACATGTCAGTAATCGCCAGATCTAGAAGAAAAATCAATACATAGATAGAGAACGAGAGAGAGAGAAAGAAAGAGATATTTTTTAAGAAAAACAAATAAAAATATACCTGAAATCTTCGAATAATTGGTCGAACATGGAGAGTAAGATTTATTGGATTAACTATTTTAAAACGTGTTGCAAATGGAACAACAACACAGGCTGTAAACCAGGTACGAGTTATAGGTGGAATACTTTTATACCATTGTCCAAGATCATTTGAAGTAGACATGATTATTATTTTTATGATTATTCTGGTAAATGAGTGCAAATGAAGAATAACACAAGATTGAAAGTTATTATTACACTAGCTAAATTTTGCTTTTATTATTGCGACAAATACAAAGACGGAAAGAAAAGAAATATCGTCATGATTAGTCATTCAAATATTAGCCATTCACAAATCAAGGTATCAGGTTTTATTATTATAGATATTCGTTTGAAAATGTTGAAAATAGAATTCTATATAAACAAAAAAAAATAAAACTTAATAAGATAATATTTTACTAATATTAGATAATGACTTATAGCGACATCTGTCAAGCGAACTTGATTGATATTATTATACTGTTTAGATGTTTTTCTCGTTGATGAGAAGGAGTAATAAATAGGTATAGGTAAGTTATTGAAAAGAGTCGTTAACATTCCAAGGTCGAAAATATGTCTCAATTAGGTAGAATCGTAAATTTAGTAATATACTGTATTATACATAAACAGATTTCATCAAGTCGCTTATATATAAGCAATTTGTTGTTATTGAAAGAGAATAGAGCATTTGTCTACTGAGAAAATATTAAAAAAAAGAGTTCGAAGAATTTCATTACTCATTATCAATTGTCTCTTTTGGACTATACTCTTTGATCGTGAATGTACTCCTGTTGTTATTAATCTTAGTTTAATTATTTATTGTTGTCCTTATAGAAACTGTCTTATTTGCACAATCGTAAACAAGAATAGGTACATATCGAGGGTAGGCTTTTTCAAAACAGTGCAATATGCGTCGTTTCATTTTCTTGTTATGAAGACGAATTTTGTCAATGACAAAGAACCGTGACGGCAAGCCACACGCTTCATTATTCAAATAAAGCAATAGCACATGTATGTAATCGATGATCAAAACACTTATGATAGCGTTATTTGTATCTACATTATGTGTTAGATGTTGAATTGATTATAAAATGATATACGAAATATTCGTTCATGTTATTAAAATATTATATACTTAAATAAAAATTATTCTTTTTCTATATTTCATTTCATAATAACTGTCTCTTTTACGATATCAAAAGTTTGTTTTGAATAGTAAAATTACAGAAAGAAAATTTTCTGTTTTATTGTTTAAGTTGAACGTGAATAAATAGTAGACAAAATATTTTTGTTTAAAATTTTGAATGACTTTCGTCATATGAAAGTATTTGCAAAATATTATTATAATGTGTTATGAATAATGGACAAATATTCTTTTGAATATTTTTCAACGTTGTTATGCATCGAAGTGCTATTATTGTAGAAAGAATTGTTATGTTAATTGAATTTTGTATTGTTACTATAAACACAATGGATATATATTCAACATCGTCATTTCAATTATTTTTATTGATCTTTATACGCAATAAACTATTCTGTTAATTTTTCGTCCAAGATAAATAATGAATTTGTTAAGTAAATTAATTCACGAACGAAAATGTTTATGACATTCATAATAAAAGTAAATCTATTAATGTTCAACATTGATGATTATATCTCGAGTTAAGCTTATGGAATTTGCTCGGTTTTAATATTAGTACTGTTTCGAAGAGATATAAATGAATTTACCAAAGGAAAGAATCACAATTTTAATAAATATGATAATCAAGTAGACTTGTATAACTTTTATTTTTTCTTTTCAAAATCAAAGTATCCATTATATGATTTTATATTGTATAAAGTGGTTATTTGACTTGCGGTAATAACAAGTATATTTTAAGTGATGTATATTCAATGTTCGTACTGCGAAAGAAGAATGAAGACATTTGAGAAATCATTATGTAACATGATCGATAATACACTCTTTTATTTCTATATACTATTACAAAAACAGGTTAAAAATCGAATTACGACTGCTTTATTATTAAAATTTGATTGAGAATACACAATGAATTTTTTATTTTTCATGTATATTTTTATTTTTAATAAACAAACGAAAATATTATAAACATAAAAGAATACAATGTTAACTTATGTTGATTGTCACCAAAAAGTCATAGAGAAATATAAAATAAATTTATGTTTGACGAATTAAACGATGCTGTTGAAGAAAATTGATACTACTCGAATTATTATAATAACGATGATGATCATATGAATAATGACGCATAGCACGTGTTTGCATTATTAATGGTTCATGTCGTATACGTTTTACATCAGGTGTTTTAGATGGTTGAATAATTGATGTAGTTAGTGTTGTTGATGGTTGAATTTCTGTTGATGATTCGGATTCATCATATCTCGAAGTTTCAGTAGTAATAATGGAAGGTATATTTATTTGTCGTGTAGACGACAAAGGATTTATCTAGAAGAATAATAAAGAGATTAATTTATTTAATAAAAAAAAGAATGTTAACATATTTACAGATGATGAAGAAGGATTATTCTGTCGTTGTTGAAGTACATCTGTTGATGGCACTTGTGTTGTTGTTGTTGTTGTAGTAGTAGATGTTGTATGTGCAGGTAAGGATGAAGGTACTGATGATGGTGATTGTCTATCAGATGGTCGAATTGGTTTCCACCATCGTGCTGCTGTTTCTTGTAAATGTTGTTGTACACGTTGTTTCGTACTGTTTGTAGTTGATGTACTCATATTCATTGATGCTTCACTATCATTAGGTTTAGCATGTGTTTGAAGAACATGTAAAATTTTTGTTAGATTTGCCAATGTTATATATCGTTGATTAGAGTCTGATGATAATACTGGTTGTTGTTTATAACTTGTATTTGGTCGTTGAATTGTTTGTGCTGATGGAAGATGAGTTGGTTCATATTGTTTTGAACGTACTTGATAACGCGGTTGAAGACGTGTTGTTGATGGAAGAATAACTGGACATATAGCAGGTTCTTGAACAGGTTGAAGAAGAGTAGTAGTAGTAGTTGTTTGTTGTTGACGTTGTTGTTTAAATCTTGGATTAAGTTGTGAATAACGTTTTCGATGAATATCCATGACTGTTGTTAATTTTGTTGGCCAAGTCGATAAATGTGTTGTAATTTTTTCTTTACAGCCCATAGGATTATTTTGATCGGTTGTCGGTTGAAATCCTGTAGATTCAGAATTGAGAAAAGGCAAAAGAGTATACGTCGTTTTATTTTCCCTCAATGATGTCGTAAAAGAAGAATTAGAAGAAAAAGAATTAGTGATTGTCGTAGTTGAAGATGAAGGAGAAAAATGTTGAACAAGCATTATAACGATTCTTTTTGTTATTGCCTTTTTCTTTAACTACTGTCGTCAATGTTGTTTTAATGTCGTTGTTGAGCCAGTAGGGCTGCCGCCACTACTCGAAAGAAAACAGTAAAAAAAAAAGGAATTGAAAATGAGAGAGACAAAATTCATTTGTGACTATCGTATTATTAATCACTTACTAACACACATTTCTTACGTCTAGATTTTGAAGTTCGGCTTTTAATGCTTATTTATTTTAGAATGTGTAGAAAAAAAGCAAAGAAACATAAGTATTGATTTAGATATTTTTATCCTATTCAATTTTAGATAAGAAGGTTATTTTTTCTATAAATAAGTTACACAAAAAAAAACGAACTTGATTATATAAATCAATTTGATAAATACAGTCACCTATTTTTTAGTTATGAATAAATGAATAAAAATAGTCGAATTTATTTACTAATAAATTATACTTCAAATATTAAAATAATATTATTAAAAAAAATTTATTTTTATTGAGAAAATAAAAATCTTAACTACGTTATATTCTTATTTTTCTACACTAAAATGACCTTGATTATCATTTGTACTGTTACGAATATAAGTGTTACCTAAAACATGATTCATTCTGTTCTTTTTTTTCTTGTGAAGGGTATAAGTAAAGCATTTACTGTTCAATAAAAGGAAATGTAACCTACTCTTATGAATAAGAATATTAAATTCTTATATAATATTTTAAAGATACATTTCTAATCAAACTCATCGATGAAGTAAGATCTGTTTTATAAATTTTCATACATACCTATCATATTTTTATTACTATTCCAATCCATCGATGTTTTACACGAATGAAATGATTTTTTTTCTTCTGAATATTGATGTTTATTTAAATATATCCAAAAAATCAAATATGTCTATTCTTTCTTCTTTTGTTCTTTTCTTATTTCTAATTAATGTTAAAGCATTGATAATGCTTCCAACCATTTGATGTTAAATATACTTTTCTCGAACTTTCTCATTATATTACATAGAATTTATATTCAATCATTAAAAATAATGCATAAGTTAATCTTCATCACCTCCCCTATTTTTTTTTGCTTGTTTATTATTAATCGAAAAAAGAACAATAGAATATTCTATGTTACTTGATTATTATTTTTATTCACAATAGATTTACAATAAAAAACAATACAGACTAAAAAATAAACTTTAATAAGAAAGTGATGCCTGTGCACTAAATCCACGTCCATTATAATATCCATTTGATCGAAACACAACTAACATAGCACCTTTTGTACTAACAAAACGTAGATTATTTGAATTTGCACCTGAACCACAATATTTTGGACCGGGTTGTCCTTTAATAAAAAAGAAAATATTTATTCTATTAAAAACTAACTTTTTTTTCTAAACATACCAATATGATAATAACGTATTTCAACTGTATCATCACAATTATTTGAATTTGAATTAGGTACATTAAAATCTGTAAATTGAATATTAACATGATAGGATTTTGGTCCTCTTATATAATAATAACATTCAGAATTTGATGGATATAAACTTGGATAATTTGGTGATGATATTGTTGCCTCGGAATTTGATCTTGTCAAATCAATAACACGACTACAACCTATTTTACAAGTAAAAATCCAATAATATTCATTATATACATAAACTAATACATACCTCTATCAGTTTGTCTACGTTTTCGACGACGATGTTCTTTATCACTTTTTGTTGGTGCTATTAACAAAAAATAGGTAGATTTTTATTTATTTTTTTTCTTCTTTGATAACATACTACAAGTTCCATTTATTATACTGATATCATCAAATGCAATATAATTATATTCAGATGTTGCTGATTGATATTCAAATATAACTTGATAATCAGCATCATCAAGAATTGTTTGTTGTACTTGTTTCCAATTAACATCTATTAATGAATTAAAAATTTACTATTATATATATTATGTAAAATTTACTTTGATCTTTTTCATTAAATATAATAACAGTATCTTCTTCGTTATTTTTGATAATTTTAAGTTTACCAACAGCTCGTCCATGAACTGAATACCAAAATTGTAAACAATGATTATTTTTAATTGAAGATTGTGAATGAACAGATGAACCTAATTCAAATGATTGTCCATTTTTCGAATGATTTCTATGTTCAATTAAAACAAGATATTTTCCATCTATTAAAAAATCAATTATTATTTTTTAAAACAAAATTCCCTTTTACCTCCACGTGTATGATCATTAATAGGTCGACTTTGATCGGCTTGTATTCCACGTTGAATTTTCCAATCATGTGTACTTTTTAATGGACATTTTTCATGGGCAAGATCAAATGTACAACTGAGAATAATATCCGCTTCTAAAAAAGAGTATAAATTCAAATTAAATATAAAAATATTTTTTGTATTCATACGATTGCATTCAGGATTTTGGCATGCTTCAATTTCAAATGAATCACCACCGATTGATGCACATGGGTTAGCACTACTATGAATATTTGTATCAGAACATAGACGAGTGCGAACACGGACACCACTACCACATGATTCACTACAATTAGACCATTCATTCCATTCAAGCCATCGAAGAACACCAATAATTAAAAATGTATGATTTTATAAAAATGGAATAAAAAAAACAAATTTAAATTTACCTGGAGTTGCTGCTGTTGTAGTTGTTGTAGATGTTGTTTCTACTACCTCCGGTTCCGATGGTTCAGGTTCTGATGGTTCAGGTTCTGATGGTACAGGTGTTGTTGTTGCGGGTTTCGATGGTAATACTCGATCTGTGTCTACAAAGAGATAAAAAATATTTTAATCATTCATTCTTATATATAAATAAAGAAAATTATGATTTTACCTAAATATCCTTGAAGTAAATTACATTTTGTACCATAAAAACCTTCTGGACATGAACATTTGCAATGTTGATTAATATAACCTTCATTTACACATTCTGGTTGTGGATCACATGCATCAGCACAATGGTATCCTAAATTTGCTAATTTACTATCAAGAAATGATAGACCTGTACGTTGACCCATAAGAAATTGACGTCGATTATCACGAGCTTCCATAACATCCTAAAAATTGATTATTTTATTTTTAAATAATAATCAAAAAGAAAAAGAAATTTATTATTTACTGTAGGATAGTAATGCATTATAGAACCAAGATCATAAGGTTGGCCATAATAACCAGGCATTGGATTAGGCATTATATCATATTGAGTTGCTTCACTACTTGACATTAAACTAAAATAAAGCCGAATTTCCAAATCACGATCTGTACGTGCCATTTCATGATAGAAACCAATAACATGTCCTAATTCATGAATAGCTGAACCAAGTGGACATTGCATTGGTAAATAAACAGAATAAGATGAAAGATAACCACTTGAAGATGGTCTATAACCAACAAATGTTGCACAACTAGAAGAAGAAGAAAATATATACATTTAAATTTTTATATTTAAAATAATAATCAAACCCAGATCCCGTATCTTCAACAGTAATTTTTGCATTTATATCCCAATGACGTTGTGAATCATAAGGTTCAAAACGAATGCATGTACGTTGATGCCAATGCTGCATAGCAGTTAATACATTTTGTTGTACTCGATAGTCTATTTTGAAAATAATTCGATCAGTTAGTTTTTTTGTAAGGGAAATACATCTTACCGATGCCTGAAATAAATTCATAAGGCACTACTGCACGTGGCCATCGATTACTAGTACCATAACGATTTGTTTCAGCAACTATTTTTCGTTTGGATCTATTTATTGAAAGAAAACAAATTAGTACAAAAAAATATAAAGATTAAATAGGAAAAATGAATATGCTTGTCTATAAAAAAACAAAAGAATGTCTACCGTTTTGAATTGGTTTGTTCAAGTTCTTCAATTGGAATGAGTATATCACCATGAGCAACATATTTTTTATTATCTTTAGTATTACCATCTAATTGTAAATCAGGTAATTGCATTTGATCAACAGGTACTGGATGAATAACCTTGAGAAAAAAATATTAGATAATTATATAATAATAACAATTCAATAACTTACCGGTTTCGAAATAATACGACCATCATCAAGAACATTATGGCTAAATTTATGAGATTCCTTTTCTCTTATGTCTTCAAATGTTTGTTCATTTTCACATTCCACAACGATAAGTAGTAGTACGAGAAAACTTAGACTGTAGGATAAAAAACTTAACTGCATAGCTTGACGACAAAGGTATACAACTTAATGAATTGAAAAATAAATGAGTGTGAGAATATATAGATGTGGTAGACCATAAACAAATAAATGAAGGTAATCAACAACACAATAATATTTAAGTGCTAACTGCTAATAACAATGTCCTGAATAAGAATATGTATTGACAGAACAAGGCCAGCTATTATAAAGGTGCATTTTTTTTCAAGGATGCTAATCTTTACGATGATAGGATACTGATTTTTGTTTAGAGTAGGAGTTAAATTATTTGCCCTAACTATACGACACCCTTAAAATCACGAGTTTATGTTTTGACAAAAACAAGAAAACTATATTATCCCTGAAGGTTATAATTTTTGTTGATGTAATTCGTCATATGCGAATATACGCATCTCAATTGGTATCTCATGACTTACTCCAATAAAATATAATACTATTGGTGTATTTGAATAGAAAAACAACTTGAAATGAAACGAAAATAAGAAGAATATTTCGTAGATCATGTAAGAATCCCTACAATTTTATACATCGTCTTGGTACAAATTATAATAGGATTCAAACAACGACAATCAAATTAATATTACAATTCATATATAATTATAAAATATTCACGAAATACAAATTCGTTTTTTTTAACATTCAGTTTTTATTCTATAATGGTGAACAATTCACAACAATACTGGTTGATACACACACGCGAAAATATTAGAAAGAGCAAAAAACATTCAATGCACTTTAGTGTTCTTTTCGCTTTATCATCAATAACTCACAATATACGCTTCTATACTTCATACGTTCCATCAACAGAACATTTATAAGATATATTCGTATAGAAAAGAAATAAAATGATACAGTAATTAGTATATTGATGATTACTACATTAAACTCTCATCCACAATTGAAGGCCATTCATATAAGAAGGTTACTTCGAAATCACACCTGTAAAAGTCATATTAGGAGAATATGATCCTATAAAAAAATTTCCGTTCTGTAAAGTACTTGCAATCAACGATGTTGACGTCAGATTGATGTAAACAATAAATTATACCATTATAGAGAAAAAAGTTGAAATAAACAGAAAAGAGGATTACGATCGATAAAAAAGAGTCAGTCATATTCAATAAATATAATGCAAGTAATCACTAGCTATTTAAATCAAAATCACAAATAAACAAACGGTATATCTTATGAAGAATGTAACGAATATTTGCAGTCATGACTTAACCCAATTGATAATGAAATTGATTCGGACAGTTCCATTTACTAGTTTGTTTAAATAATTAGAGAATGTCCCGAAAAGAATATCTTTTCCACCATTTACTTCGTTGTATTAAATACCAAAATGTGCATCGTGAAAAGCTCTACAATTTTCAAAGGATGTCACGCCCGTTATATTTTACAGATATTTGTGTGTATTCATTTTTCATCCTTTTTCTTAGTATTTCTAAAACATTTCATGAGCCTAGTTATTCATGATTTTGTAGAGAATTGATGTTGATGAATTGAGAAATATAAATAGATAAATGAAATTGGCAGACGAATCTTCATTCAACATAATGATATATTTTGTTTACTATTGATAGACCTCTCTCGCCATTATGTATTTATTCAAAATTATCGTCTAATATATTATTTGAAATAATGGTAAAATACCAATTTGTCTTAGAGAAAAATCTATTTTACAACATTTCGAATATAAAGAGCAGCCATCATTCCATAATATGTTGGATGACATGATATAAAATTTGTCAATAACCAATTAGCAGATGGATGAATTGGTTCCGATGCATGATCTACTTGATTTTGAATTAATTCATTTTCCATTACACCTTGCATAGTCAATGATCCAGTATAACCACAACTAAGAGCAAATTTTTCTATATTTCCTGCTTGATTAATCAAAATCTTGTCATCTAAACAATACAATTTATTTTCTGACTGTGAACGTTTTCCAGTTATCCAATCTTGTATAAATTCATCGAATAATTTAGCAGATTCAGTACCACTTTGTGGAAATATTGAAAAACATGTTGGATCAGGTTGATAAATTAATGGTAATTGAGCTGACCATTCATGTGTATGTGCTTGATCACCACTTATAACTAAAAGAATACGATACGAAGATTGATTGCACCATGATCGAAGTAAACGACCAAATTCTACTAAAATAGAACGTTGTTCTATTCGATAAGATTCTTTTTCTTCATCTAAATACAATTACAAAAACTAAAATAAATTAATATTATTAAACTTCTCATACTTGTTGTGCCTTTAGCTGGTTGTGCAATAATAACAATTTTAGGTTGTGATTGAATCGAAATATGTTTTAATGGAATAGTATTTGATTGTTTTTGTAAAGCTAATTGATGTAAAGCAAAATATAATGGTACAACTTCACCCCATCTTAATGGTACACTTAAACCACCAAATGCTAACATTCCTTCGACTCTTGGTAATCTTTGTTTTAAATATAAATATAAATCTTGAGATATATCACCATCTAAATTAATATCAACACTATAATCAGTCCATTGATTATTCCATTCAGCATTTCCACTTGCTTTACTATTTGAAATATTCGGTTGATAGACATTAAAAGCTTGATGAAGATTAATACCATGTGGAGTTAAAAGAATAATTACATCAGGATTTAATTCTGCTATTTTTTCACTTATTTTCATACATGATTCATGAAGAGATTGAGCACCATTTGGTAGATCATCTCGATTTGGATCTAAAGTCATCGTTCCATGAGGAAGATACGCAACTCCAATTAAACCATTCATATTATCTCAAATACTAAACTTTTCTGACAAAAAAAGATAAATCAATCTTTAATGATAACCATTCTTTTCAACATTTCATTGAATACAAATATTGTCGCTATATTTTTATTCAACGAATTTTAAGTAGATGTCATTCATTTACATATTTTGTATTCATCTATATAGTTATTTGAAGATTACAAGAACTTCGAAAATAATAGTTAATACTATATTCATGATCTACTTCATATCTTTGATGTTGAATATATCAAAGACAATCAATTAAATCAATCAATTTATTTAACTTCATAGAGATATTCTTTGATTAGACATAAATTACGAATACGTATAAATATGAATTCTTCTATTTTCGAACGATTACAATGCCATTCTCAATTCATTTTCGTAATACTATTCGCCATTATTTTGCGAAAAAACATTCAAGTATTATTCAACATTTGTCAATGTGTCGATGTCAACGTAAAAGAAAGTAAGTTTCATGATAGGTTTGTATTCTTACAAATTCAATTGTTTACCTATTAGATCAAATATTGTACAAAAGATTAATTCAAGTGATAAATCACATTCAACATCTAAACTATTTAATAATTATGATATGACTATTTTACATGATGATGAACTTAATAATACTCAATTGATTACACTACGTCGTCGTAAAAAGAAAATTCCATATTGGGCAACAAGTAAAGAAATTTCTATTCGTTTTTTTCTCTTAATAAATAATTTTTTTCTTGTAGAAGATCAACTTCAATTAGCAATCATAAATCAAACTTATTTTCAAGATCAAAATCCAGAAGATATATTTGGTAGTATTTGCATGGATCAAGTATTACATATAATTAATTCAATGAATATTTCACATCATTTTTGTAATTTTATTCTATTTTAAAATAAAAGTTCATGACCAGTTGTTTGAATGAATAACATTCAAGATGATAATTATTTTAAACTTACAGAACCGAAATCAATTATAAATATAATCATCTCTACAAAAATTTTAATTCCTTCTGTAAATTATTCATTGAAATATCAAATCTTATGTCATAAATTACAAAGATACTTAGTCATTTGAGTTTGTCTCTATGATAAATATTCATAATGATTTTTTCGTTAATCAGAGTAAGGGATTATTATTGACAAAGCACGTATATATTTCGTTCACCTTTCATCATAGTCACTGATGGAGAGGGAGAGAGAGAAAGAGAGAGAGTTGGTCGCGTTGTCACTTGGCTTAGTGGACGAAGGCGGGAGGAACACTAATAATCTATATATTCGATCATCGTCATGAGAGACAAAGCGGAAGAGAAAGAGAGGGAGAGAGAGCGAAAAAAGAATATATGATAAAAGTAAAAAAACATAAAAGAAGATGACTACTGTCACAATACGTCCTTCCTTTATTCTATAAGAATCATAAGTAGATCTATCGTTTCAGTATAAAACGAAATTCATCTTTCTTATTATTATTAATCGGATCCTGAACAAAAAACTTCTTTTTTTTTCGATCTTCCAAGCAACAAGATGAAAGTTGTATTACTTGTTCTTATTCTTTTTGAAGGTAAGATTTTTGAAATTCATTACTCTGTATTTTCTATGAACTCATCAGTAATATTATTTTATTGACAAAACATGGTTTGATCTTAGTTGATCATTAAAGAAATTGAGGAGAAAATCAAAGAAATCTATTTGTTCCTAATCCTTTCATATCTTCTTTACAACTTTTTAATGGTAATAAACATACAAATAAATGAATTCCGGAAATGTGACAATCTATATTTCAATATTTTTATTTACTTTCTTCGGCTTATTGATTGATTAAGTTGATAATGAATATTAAACAAAAAATATAATTATAAATATATTTCGGAAACCTTATACATGTGTAGGCGTGGTCCCGACGTATTAAAATCTCGTCTTCTTCTTTTTTCTTTTTTGTTGTACATGCTTTGTTTGTACTTGCTTAACACGCACGTTATCTTGGTCGGTGCGGATAACCTTTGCATGAGCAGGGACCAAGAAGAAAGAGGATGACGTTTACTGAATCACATACATACGATTGTACATGTTTCTTCGTTGTCATGATCCGTATATAAAAAATACAAAAAAAAAAAACGAAGAATTGAGAAGAAAAGAGAATCCGACACTTGCACAAAGAGACCAGTGTAACTTCTATGAACTTTACTCATGAATTATAGAATAAGGGACAAAGATATATGATGTAATTTATGTGTATATGTATATGGTGCTAACACCCGAACATGTGTGTGTGCATGTGGTTAACTCTTTTGACCACGATCAATCTATTTAAAAATCATACTAAATTTATTTACTTTTAATATTGCTTTTGATTTTCAATCGATAGTTATATAATTTTGTTTTTTTTTATAGGAATATTTAGTGTCTATTCAAAACATTCGATTGTGAATTATGTAGGATGTTTTAAAGATAGTCGTCATCAACGTATATTGAATGGTCTTATTAAACCTTTGACTTCATCATCTATGACAATTGCACTATGTACGAATTATTGTGCTGAACATGATTTTAGCTTTGCTGGATTACAATTTAGGTACGAAATCGAAGTGTAAAGCTTTTGATCCTTGAATGAGACTAGAAAAAAAAGATATCAATGTATCATTTCTATATATATGTATGTATGTAAATGTGTAGATCGGAATGTTATTGCGGTAATCATTTGGCAACGAAAACTCGAAGAGAACAAGAAAATCATAATACATCGAATTGTTGTTCATGGACATGTTCAGGACAATTGAATGAAACATGTGGTGGTCATCTTTGTAGTTCAGTGTATGCTATTAATAGCACTATACAAATGAATTTTAGTGAGTATTTTCAAAGAAGCATAAATTGAAAAAAATATTTCGTATAATTTAGTAGCTGCTACTCGGACTAGTTTACCCATGTTACCATCAGCCTGTCGAAGCAATCCATGTGAATATAGTGGAACATGTATTGAAAACACATTGACATCTATGAATAATAGTTCTTATCAATGTCAATGTTCACGAGGTCGTATTGGAATTAATTGTGAATACAGTAAGTAATATTAAAGATTGTTATATACTTGAAAATGTTAATTCTATTTCTATTATTTTTAACAACTAGTTGATCCATGTCATTCATCGGATGTTTGTCCTCATGGTGGCTGTATTTCATTTCCCGGAAATGGTTCATATGCTTGTCAATGTCGTTCGGATACATGTTCATCACCACAAGCTATTTGTGATTCATCAAAAATAACAACATTAACATGTAAATGTCCACCAAATCAATATGGAGAACAATGTGAATTAGTTTGCCCATGTCAACATGGCGGTCGTTGTGTTATTCAACAAGATAATTCAACTGCATTATGTCGATGTGATGAATCACGTTTTTATGGCGATGTTTGTGAAGAAATATCACCATGTGCATCTCAACCATGTTATATGGGTGGAACATGTATTAGAAATGGAACAAGATTTGTATGTAAATGTCCACAAAATCGTTTTGGAAGTCAATGTGAAAAAAATGATCCATGTCAAACTCATCCATGCATTGGGTATGAACTTTTTTCTTTTTCTTTTAATTTAAATTAACAAATTATTCATCATATACTTTGTTTTTTTTTCCATAGAAATAGTACATGCTATCGTATCAATGATGATGCATATAAATGTGTATGTGATCAAGTTCATACAGGAAAAAATTGTCAAGGTATAATAACATTATTTTGAGAATCTAGAAGTATGTTTTTTTAAATATTCTTTACAGATATTGTTCCAACTATAAGTCGCTATGGTTTATTTCATAGTGCATGTGTTCGACCAAGTGATTGTGATATTTCTCTTGGTTTAATTTGTTTTCCTGAACGACGTTGTGCTTGTATGGAAGGTTATACATGGACAATCGATAAGGAAAAAGCTCATACAACAGGTAAATGTGAATCAATAAATACATGTTTACAATCTCCATGTCTTAATCATGGTCAATGTGAACAACGTAATAGTACCAATGATTATATATGTCATTGTCGACCTGGTTTTGCTGGAAAACATTGTCAAATCCAATCACGTGATCGTTCAAATCAATGTTATGCAGGTCTGTGTTTAAATGGTGGTTCATGTTATGTTAATCATAATGATCAAATGGAATGTCTTTGTCCACCTGGTTATATGGGTCGTTATTGTGATGTAACTATAGGTCCATGTTATTCAAATCCATGTCCACATCCTGAATCTGTTTGTTTAAGTGTTCAAGATGGTTTTATTTGTTTATGTAATGATAATCAATTATTAGAACCATATTGTAATATATCGAAATATTGTCCTGGTTCAATATGTAATGGTCGTGGTATTTGTTATAATACAGTAGATAGTAATTCTTATTGTCGTTGTTTGGAACCATATACAGGTACACGTTGCACATTAATTGATACATGTTCAACAGAACAAAAATGTCATCCATCAGCAACATGTATTCCAATGGAAACAGGAAGTTATTGTGCATGTCCACCTGATAGAACAGGACCAACTTGTCATGAAGGTTAGTTTGCATAAAAGAGAGGAAAAAAGAACTGTAGTTTTTACTGCATGGTAAAACTATGCTTTCTATATAGAATATTGGCTTGATCCATGTTTAAGCAGTATAACAACTTGTTTCCATCATGGAACATGCACGTCATCTCCTACTGCATCATTATCATCTTCTTCTTCTCAATCATATAAATGTGCTTGTACAGAAGCATATACAGGCCCACGTTGTGAAGTTGAATTACCTTGTCCATCACAACGTTGTCTTCATAATGGGACATGTGAAAGAAATGCTCAATTTGGTTATTTTGAATGTTTATGCACGTCTAATTATTTGGGATCGAGTTGTGAACGAGGTTTCTTTAAAAAATAAAAATAATATAACAAGATTTCTATTTATTTAATAATTTTCTTATCTATTTAGCATTACAAATTACAACTTTACCAAGTCCATGTGCAATTTTACCTTGTTTTAATGGTGGTTCATGTTCAGAAACATCGAATGGAGGTTTTGTATGTGTTTGTCTACCAAATTTTACAGGTGTACGATGCGAAGATATAGCACCAACAATTACTTCAACAATAGCAATAATAGCAACAACAGAGGCACCCATCGTTCGGGCAATTGATTTATGTAAAGATAATCCTTGTTTAAATGCAGGAAATTGTGTACTAAATGGAGTTGGTGGATTTATATGTAATTGTCTTAATGGATTTAGTGGAAATCGATGTGAAGCTCGAGGTAGAAAAAAATATTATTCTATGAAAACACAAAAAAAGACACATATAGATGACGTTTTTAATTTAGTTGAGATTGCACCATTACAAAGTCCAGTATTTTCATTGATTAATGTATGTATTATTTTCCAAGAGAACGAAAAGATATGTTTATGTTAATTTTAATTTAGCTTGCTTGGATTATACCTATTGGTTTACTTCTTCTTGTTGTTGTAACAATGCTAATTGGTTTTATATGTTGTCGAAGTTCATCACGACGCGGGTATGATTGTTTTTTCTTCTTCTTGTTGTAATTGATTTGTTTTTAATTGAATATCTCTTTTCGTAGAGAAGAAAAATCCGAAATTAGGATTTTAAAAACCAATCTTTAGAGGTATTATTATAAACTAACCAATTTATGTTTATTTTTATTTTGGAGGATAGAATTATTGATAAAATAAAACTAAAAATTTAATTGGGTTGCTCTTCGTTAAAAATATTATTTATTTCTATCGCAAATTTTATTTGAGTATTTTATTTTTATTTATTTAGAAAAGAAGAACCTGTTTATATGTTTGATCAAGTGCCTTATCCAACAACAGGTATCACTGGACATAAAAAATATCGGGAATATTCTAATCCAGGTTTTGTTATTCCAACAAATATGTCTCGAGATTAGATTTCTGTTTTTTCTTGTTTTGTCTCGCTCTCTCTCTCTCTAACCTTGTTCTTCTACTTGTTTTATATAGGCATTAATTCATATTCTCTTCTTAATGCATTCGTTTCTTTATGTAATTTTTTTTTTGTGTTCTTTTTTAATGTTAAAAATAACAAACAGACAGACAGTATTCGACACATGGACAATGGTAGTGTCGGGGGAAAATCTTTTTGTTTTTATTTCATATTATCTAGATTTTTATTAAATAATTAGACACAAAATCATATTGACTATGTAAAAAAATATTCAGAGATTCTTAATTCTACCCTTTAATATTGAACAAAATTTTGTTTATTATAACATTTGCTGAAAGAAATATAATTATTCATTCAGAATTTCAAAACTTTATGTTGTTAAGATTGCATTTTATCATATATAAATATTAAAATCACTCCATAATTCATGTATATTTCATCAGTTGGATGAATCAAAGTATAGCTGATGTACCAAGAGTATTTATCATATAGTATACAAATTGCATTTAGAATTGTTCATTATTGATCTGTGTCTTAACTTTCTTTTCGTCTTCTTGTAACAAATTGTGGCCAGCAGATTCTCTAAGTGGTTCATTATGATCACAAATTTTTTTTAAATAATTCATCTTTGATACGAAGAATATATTCTTTATGTTCAATCAATTCTTACACACATTTTTATATTTAGAATATCATGGAGATATAGTCATAGCAATAGCTGTCTATTTTAAATTAAAAGGTGGATGGATATGTTTTGAATAAACTTCGATAAGAACATGATGGAGAACTGCAGCTTTCATTGTTGGAACAAGACGATGAAGACGCATTGAAACTTATCTGAATAGGTTTAATTTCTCACTACTACTAAGACTAAGATATTTACTCATCTAGACACAGTTTAGGATCCCATTTTTCCAGCAAAAAAAACATGATAAGTGGGAGTTTTAGGGTCAAAAAAATTACTTCCTCCGTCCGACCTTTTATTTTGAAGTACCCGGTAGTCATGATTGCTATAGATAGAATGATAATCAATCTTTACATTTAATTAAAACGCTTTTTTAACTAAAGTTCTATATTAACTAGAACAAAAATATCTAAAATCACATGCTCTAATAAGATTATTCATAATTAAAATATTAATTCTCCCTGATTTATGAGAGTCTATATCGTTCGCTCTTATCGACCTTATAAATAGAAAAGTTAAGGCTTTTAACTCAGTCATAATATTTAACCTTCATTTAATAAGTAGTCCATATCGTGATCAATTATTTGTTCATATTAATCACCCATTCAGCAATAATAATGTCAAGCATATTGCAAGGTGGGGGAGAATATTAATCTTCTTTATTTATTCATTTCCTTCTTCTGACAACAACAACAAACAAAGATAACGTGACATTTACAGACAAACATTGATCGATTATTTTTAAGTTCACAAGCATAATTAAACTGAAAGATTGCTGTTATTTTTTTTGTGTTTTAAACTAAATACCGAAAAACTCGATTTCTGCATAAAAAAAATGTAAAAATTAAATCGTTACATATTTATAAATACAAAAAGAAATTATTCGGATAAATAAAATGAAATTACATAAAAGTTCAAAAGAAATCAGACATTCACAACAATAAGTTTAGCTTATTTCGAAAGAAAAAAATATATATATATTATGTATGTTTTTCTTTTTGTTTCATCGTTGTGAAATATTCTTTTGTTAGTTATTTTATTCACGTTTACCCAGTAACATAAGAATATACATAAAGATATAAACGACATCGAGATAAAGCATCATTGCTGCAAATACATGATCTTCAGCATTGATTTCATGTCGTTTTCCACCTAAATATAAACAATGTATTATTTTAAAGTTATACTAAACCTTTGAACAACATACCCATGATTAATTGCGTATCAACTGCCAAGAACTATTAAAAAATCTATTTTTTTCTATCGATAAAATAATTTGTTTCACTTACAATTGAAAAGGCCACAGCTCCAAGACCAGCATAGAGTGTATACACTATCTAAAATAATAGAATAATATTCAATTATCTTTTTTTGCGTAACTTACTTTTGAATAGGTAAAAATACAAGCAATACCAAAACCTATTAATGCTAATGAAATAACAAATAAAATGCCAATACATGATGTAAAATCAAATTTAGTTTGAAATGAAAATAATGTTACACCAAAACAAACAAAACTTGTTATTGCAACAGCAAGAAATACTGATTCAATATCATAGAATGCAGATATCATACCCATCTAAATTAAATACAAATATATATATTTGAAAGTTTATTTTTATAAATTTATATACCATATAAGCCATTGATAAAGTCTAAGAATAGAAAGGAAATAAAGAATTATTTAAATTATATTTTAGTTATATAATTACCAATAGACTAAGCAAAATAAGATTAACTGGAAATCGACGTCCAATATTTTTGCAACACGCTAATGCTAAATATGTAACCATAAATACACCATAAGATGACCAATAAGCCCATCGACCGCCAGGAGATTGAACATAAGCACGAACTGATGGTCTATAAAAGAAATATATTCATATATTGATAATAGAGAAAACAATTCTTCTAAGAATATACTAGTCTTCTTTAGAAAATATTAATGTCACAATTGAGGACAAAATCAATCGAGCTGAAATTTTTATAATAATTAAAATATAGAAAATTTATGAAGTATATTTTTGAAAATGTCCTCTCTTTTGCGTATGTTTAAAAGATGCTAGATGAAAGCAAGAATTCTAATTATATTAACATGGCTTCTGTGAACTTCAATCAATAGAACACGATTAATTCACTGTCACACCTTACCCTGATGATGACCCGCCGATATGGGTGGGCATCGCCTCTCAGTGCTTTGCTGAAGTCTCGTTTTTTGAATGGGCGAATCGAGAGATACATATTATATCTAATTATTTAGTATTCAAAAACTTTCAGACTGCACTTATCTAGATATAGTTCTATAAAAAAAAGTCCTTGTTAGTTTTTTTCGTATAACTTATTAAAATAAATTCTTGATAACATACGTAAAATGAAATATTGCAATGATGCCAAATGTGACCAATAGTTGCAACATAAGAAGAAGATAGACCTAATATAATAAAAAAGAAATATGAAAATAAATTTTTATTTTGTAAAAATTTTCAATATGAAACCTTTCGAACAAATGCACGACGAATTTCTTTATTTCCAAATCCATTAAAATTACCCCATGCAGCTTGTTCTTCATCTATTCAATCAAATGATAAATTAAATTAATTTTTCTATTTTAAATGCAAGTTATTATTATATATATCAGACATTTCCTTTAAAAATATAACGATAATATCCAATTTTAATGAGAGAAAGTTCATGGGAGAATGTTTATTAGATAGAAAGGTTAATATCATTTGATTAGTTTTTTTTGTACTAAGTGAAAAAAAAGTTCATAATATTACTATGACATTAATGAAATTAATCGTACTGTCTGCTTGGTGAAGAAAAACAATCGACGTAATAAAAAATATTTAAAAAAATTATGAATTTTAAGGAGTCAGAACCATTACGATTCAATTTATATAATTATTTTCACACTTGTCGGAGAAAAAAAAAAGTATGAAAATCATGTTTTCTAAATAGACATGTTTACCTATTAATTTCCTGTTTAGATGAAGAGAAACGGAAGATCTAATCTCGAAATACTTACGATTATTAACATTAGAATACACCATTTATACTAATAACTAATGTAAATTTACTGATTCAAAAATAATATTTAAGTTTTAATGTAAAATAATTAAAGAAAGTCGATTAAAAATGATTTTATAGACATATATTATTTTAGGATATTTATTTAATATCGAACCTTTAGCAATTTGACTCGGTGAAAGACTGGCTGTGCCTTGAAATGGTATTTGAGTTTGTTCATAACCAGGAGCTGTATTTGGATCAACATATGGAGGTGTTTGTTTATTAGCTAGAACATAATAACAATAGCATTATTTTTAAAGATTAACACGACATAGTCTGTTGATATAGAACTATCCGACTTATGTTAAATATAATCAAAAAAGAATTCTTTTTATTCAGAAAAAAGAAAACAGATGTTCACTGTAGAAAATACTGTCTAAGCAAAAACAAGAAAACTCAAGTATTGAACATTAGATCTATACCTTGTTCTGATTGATATTGAGCATTATCGTTGCCTCCTTTTGGAGAGTATGGGCCGAAAAGACCTGTCTGTTGAGGTGGATATTCTCCATAGACAACTGGCTGCGGAGCTGTATAGGACGGATAAGAATCGTGTGGTGGTGGTAGTGGTGGTTGTTGTTGTTGTTGTTTTTTTGAAGGATTATATAGACTTGAACCTTGACTCAACATTTTAACTTATAAAATTGAATTTAAAATAATAGGATTGTTGTTATTTAATAGTCGAAGATAAATAGAAAATAATCGATTTAGTTTAACTTACAATAAGAATACAATTGAGGGAAAAATGTTTTGTTAAACTAATATAATAATGACATGTTACAGAGAAAATCTACAATAAATATATATACATTAAAAAAATAGAGCGTATGACGCAGTTAAAGGAACTTTCTCTTTTTCTCTCTGTCTCTCTATTCTCACTGTTGCATTAAGGTAACTCTGAACACGTGGGCGATTGCAAAAAAAAGTGACGTATTTAGCAATATTATCATTTATTTCTTGTTTTTTCTTTTTCTCCTTCCTCATATAGTCTATTTTTAACACACAGATGCTCTATAGGAATGTCATATCTTATTCACTTTAGAAATCTTTGTTTTATATTCTTCGCCTGAAAATGCCAGTATACGAGAGAGAGAGAGAGAGAGAAGAAAAAACAAGTCAAGTTTCTAAATTGACAAATAATAATAATAATAATGGCTTAGTCTATATTTCATAAAGACTATATCAAGGAATATATTTTCTTCTTTAAATTGTGCACTCTATTCATATTTATAACGAAAAACCAATAAGCGATATCAATCTATTATTCCAATGACAGTTCAAAAATAAAACTCTGGAATCTTCTCGTTAAAAACAATAAGTTATTTTCTTCATGCGTATATATATATATTTACAAGCATATGGTAAAAAAAATGCATTCTCCTAATAAGTCCCAATGCGTCACAAAATACTCTAATTTATATTATAAGTATCTCATCCATAATTAAATGTTGCCAATGACTCAATTTACAAAAACAAATCAATGTAATTGCTTTTACAAGATGGTTTTTGACGAGTTTTAAAAAAAAATTTTTTTCAAATATTAGTCATGAGTATATTTTAAAATCAGGATTTCTAGCTTTTTGCTTCTTCTTTTTATTTTGATATGTAAATATTGTGTTCATATATATTGAACAAAAAATTACCGCCTAAATAAAATTTTCATATAACATATTTATGATTTTAATATAATGAATCGATTGATGATGTTATTTACTATAAATTGTTTTTCTTTTAAAATCAATTAAAAATCTTGAAAAAAAAAGAGTTTCTTAACCTTTTTCGTAAAGTGACATCTATAAATTCCTATTGCCTGATTTATCCTTTAGAGGTTTCTGACGTCAACAAATTTGTTTATGGTTGATGTACAAAGAGCTTTTTGTTTTTGATACTATTGCTTTTTTTTGTGTCTTAAGATTAAGAAAAAAAAGTTATTGTTCTATTATCATGGGTGTTGGTGGACACAAACATCATTATAATGATAGTCAAATTGAAAAAGAGATGAAAGGCATTGGTGACACTGTATGTTAAATAAGACAGAAAAAACATCTAAATATATATATCATAATATTGTTTTTCTCTAATGAAATAGGATCCATTGGCAAAATTAAAAGAATTATGTGGTAATGATCATGGATGTGCAGGATTAAAACAACGTTTACAAGAATGTACCGATAGAGTTAATAGTAAGCCATGGACAAAAGAAACATGTAACGAAGAATTACTGGATTTTCTTCACTGCGTTGATGAATGTGTAGGAATAAGAAAAGCTAATTAATGTATATGTATTATTATTAAATATTTCTTTTTTTCATTTTAGTGGTCACCACATATATTCAAATACGTGAAATAAAAATTATATTAGAGACATTACTCGAATTTTTAGTCTTAGATATATATCCATCATATTTCTCCTTTTCTCCGATTATCCATCTATCTTTTTTTTTGTATAAGAAATATAACAACAAAGATGTTCTTTCATTTTGTCTTTTGTTTAACCAGAGTGTGATTTTGGTATTAGTCTATTTTGTTTATTGCATTACAGATGGCTATGGCTGCTGCCCGTTTATTAATGCGAACTGCAACTGCTAATCGTAATCCAGTTTTTCGATTAATGTCAGCACGTACACAAGCTACATCAGCTACACCAGCTCCAGCTTCAGGTTCAGCAGCAGATATGGTTTTTACATTTGCTGCACCAAACGAAGTAATTTATGATGACATTTTTAATGAAAAAAATATTTTTATTTATTTAGGTTTTTTATAATCAAGCAAAAAATGTACGGCAAGTTGATATTCCCACCATGAGTGGTAATATGGGTATTCTCGGTATGAAAAACCAAAAAAAATAAATAGAAAAGATTTATTGAATTTTATTTTTTTCCACTTAGCTCATCACGTACCAATTCTTGGTGTTCTTAAACCAGGTGTCGTCTCAGTATTTGAACAAGATGGAAATACCAAAAGATTTTTCGGTAAATAAACTTTGACATCTAATGATTATGAGAAGTTAGTAATGATAGTCGTCAAAAGTTAAGTAGAATAGGAAGAAAAACAGGAAATAAACGCTATGTGAATGCAAAAGAATTATTTATTTCGTCTTATGATAAAATATTGAAATTCAAAGTATCTAATGTATGTTTTCTATATGAAAACTTAGAAATGAATGTAAAGCAGAAGAAGAAGTCGATAGAATTGATTATTTAGTAGATATGTAGATTATTCTTATTATTAATATAAAAAATAATTTTTTATGACATTATTCTATTTTTAGTAAGTAGTGGTTCAATTGCTGTTCATCCAGATTCAAGTGTTCAATTATTAGCCGAAGAAGCAACACTAGTTGAAAATCTTGATCCCAAAGTAAAAAAGATAACAATGTATGAAAATTTTATTTTGGTTTTTTTCTTTTCTATATTAATTAGTTAGCCCAAGATGCTTTATCTGAAGCACAACGTCGATTAGGATCAGCTAAAGATGACAAACAAAAAGCCGAAGCTCAAATTGAACTTGAATGTGCTGAAGCTGCCATCAAAGCAACCTCTGGTGTTTTTCAATAATTTTCATAGAAAAAAAAATACGAACAGTGTTGTAGTTTATCAAGATCATTTAGTTATTTTGTCCGTTTCATTTCATTATTTTTTTTTCTTGCTATTTAATATAAAAACATATATTGAACCCGTATAGATAAATCATATTCTTTTTTTCTTTTTTCCAGATGGGACTTTCACGATTAAATCGTATTATAGCAGTTATTGCTCTCATATTTGCTGTTGTCTATGGATGGAATTATTTATTTGATGCTCGACGTCCACCATGTTATACAGTTGATGTAAAATATTTTGGCGCAAATATTCCATCATCAAATGATGTAGAAGATTTTTCAATAAAACCATTTAAAATTCCATTTGAACGATCACAAGTTGATGATATGATTGATCGAGTACGTAAAACACGTTTTTATGAACCACAAATATTGGTTGATAATCGAAATACAAATAAATCTACATATGGTTTCAATCGTCAAACAGCTGAAAGTATTCAAGATTATTTAATTAATACTTATGATTGGAAAAAAACTGTTCAAGAATTAAACAATTTTGATCATTATAAAACAAATATTGCTGTAAGATTAATTATTTTATTTTTTGTTATGAAAAATATTTTTTTGTTTTGGATTTTTAAGGGTTTAGATATTCATTTTGTTCGTATAACACATAATTCGCAAAGAAATGAAAAAAAAGATGCAATTTTATTTTTACATGGTTGGCCAGGTTCATTTCTTGAATATCTTGATGTTGCTCGTCTTTTAAATTCATCTACAATCAATAATTATGATTTAATCATTCCATCATTACCTGGTTATGGTTATTCAGATGCACCTGTTCGTGCAGGAATGAGCCCAATACAAATAGCTCGTATTATGCAAAGTTTAATGCAACGTCTTGGTCATAGTTCATACGTTGTATGTGGTGGTGATTGGGGAGCTATCATTGGTACAAATATTGCACAATTATATCCTGGTCATGTTCGAGGACTTTTAATAACAATGGTTGCACCAGCTTTAACATGGAAACATTATATACATTTAGCACTTGCTCATTATATTAATCCATCGATTTTACTCGATTATGATGAACAAGAATATTTAGGAAAACGTTTTGATGCTTCACAATATCTCAAATTTATGTGGTAATATAAAAGATATCTCTGGAAATAAAAATCATTTGTCTTTTTTTAAATATATATTTAGGCAAGAAGGTGGTTATTTTCATTTACAAGCTACAAAACCAGATACAATTGGCTATGCACTTAATGATTCACCACTTGGTTTAGGTTTGTCAAAATTCATCTTTGAAAGGTTTATTGAGTGTTTTATTTTATTTTATAGCTACTTATATATTGGAAAAATGGTCTCGTTGGAGTAATACACAAAATGATGTTGATCAATCAATGAATTCTGGTTTAGATCGTTTTACACTTGATCAACTTCTCTCCAATGTTATGTTATATTGGACAACAGGAACAATAACTTCATCAATGCGTCTTTATTTCGAATATTTTGCTTCAATTTCATCTGGTCATAATGATAAAATTCTTAATGGTCCATTAGCTGCTTCAGTTCCTGTTGCTATTCTTAATTTTCGTAATGAATTAGCTTATTTACCACGTTCAATTGTACGAGCTAAATATCCAAATATTAAATTATGGGTATTTCATAATTCAGGTGGACATTTTGCTTCCATTGAAAAACCTCAAGAATATTATCGTGACGTTGAAAAATTTTTATTACAACTTTAAAAAACAATCAAAAATTTATCTACAAATTAAAAAATATTTCCATGACATATGTTTTGAACATAGATATAGATGACACTTTCCATTTGATATCTCTCACTCTTTTTTTTTTGTGAAAATCTCGTCCTATTTTTCTTCTTTCTCTATTGTGTGCTATTGATGATTTTTTGTATGAAAGACTTTATGATTAATTCAGCAACGTAATGAACTAGTAAGATGTATTCCACTGATAACGTCAAACGAAGAATAAAGCATTTATATTTTCTTCTATATTTTTGTTTATTTTTCTAGATAAATAAGAAAAACAAGGAAAAATCATAAGATGATATTGATATAGATTTATCGACTATCTCGTCCAATATGACGACAGGATTTATACATTTATGTGATCAAATTTTAGCAGCATCATCGCCATATTTACCATATGATGCATCAAAAAAGCCACTCAGTACTTTGCTCAATGAGATGACAAATTATGTTGCTTCTGGTTGTCGAATAGACAGCGAAGATGAATTTATTATCTTTGGGTATAAATTTATATTTAAAAATAAAAAAAATATAAATTAAAATTTTTGAACTTCTTCTAGTCTTCAAATGCTTTTATTAAGTGATGTAGAACGTGTTCGAGCAGCATCACTTCGTGCTTTACGTTATTCGATTCATCGTGCGACTATATTCGATAAATTTCTTGAATGTCGTCTAGATTATCTCGTTTGTCGGTGAGTTGATACTGTGGTTTTTTTCTATATATCTATATACAATCAACAATACATTGATTCTATTTAGATCTTTAACTATTGATCTAAGAAATGCCCGTGAACGTTTAGAAGCATATAAATTTATACGTCGTTTATTTTTTCTATATTCTCAACGTATACCACATTCATTTGTTTATGTACTTGATGCTATTGTTGCATCAAGTCATTCAGTATCACTACCACGAACAACAAACTCAGCACCTATTGTAAGATCTGATCAAATGGTTAAATGTTGTCTAGAATTATTATGTGAAATAGGTAAGAAAATATTTTATTTTCTTGTACTATATCTAAATAATTTATTTTAGCTTTACAAAATCCACATGTATTACATACATGTCATGCAATTAATACAATGTTAAGATTTACTGTTGATCTTGAACAAGATGAACTTCGTGAGAGTATACTTTATGCATTATTACATGCAGTTGATCGTTTTACAATCAATGATAATAGTGAACCAACTATTATTGATTCACTTGATTCAAATGGTCCAGCTTGGATATTTGTTGATGAAGGAATGCGTGAACGACATGAATTAATTCGAAATATGTTTAGTGTATGATGATTTTTATAAATATTTCTATGATCTTTATTTTGTTTTTCTTTCTTTCATTAGCAATTAGTAGCAATTTTTTCCCTGTGTGAAAAAGGTACATTGAAAACAGGTGATCGTCGTGCTATGACACCAGCAGCGTAAGAACAAAACAATTAAATATTTCCTATAATAATTTGTCTTGTTATTTAATACAGATTTGATAGTTTATTAATTAAAGAACCAGATAAAATAAAAATACTTAAATCAAGTGCATCAGCATTAAGTATAATTTTACATAGTTGGATTGGTAAGATTTTAATTCTTAATCCAATATATATTAACCATTAAATCTAAGGTTTTACGGTATTTTGTCAAACAAGAAATTCATCTGTACGTTTACTTGTTAATTGTTTACTTGTACAATCTGAACCGATGAAAGTATGTATATTTAAAGAAAAAACATACAAACTCATTTTCCTATTATAAATTTATTTAGATAATAATTCTTGATCTATTTTATGATCTACTTAATCTTGATATTCCAGCTGTCTGTGATAGTTATGAAGCAGCACTTAAATCAATATGTAAAAAATAAAGTTTTTTTTCCTCCCTACTTATGAATATATGTCTATAGATCAAACGTGGAATTTAACTACATCAGAAGAAGGATATTCATATGTAGCCGGTGAAGGCGCTGCGAAATTATCTCGTTTATCAGCTACAAGGTATCTATCTATTTATGCTAACTCTCGCTTTTTATTAAACATTTTTTTGTTCGAGCGCAGTTTTTTTTCTAAATCTTCTTTTATTATTTATCTGTAGACCGAACTTGCTTGATAGCCATATGGCATTAATGCTTCTTACTTTTATTGATGCTGGCTTTATTGAGGTAATTTTCTTGTAGAAACAAAACAAATATTTTCCTATTCATTTGTCAAATTCAAAAATTACATTTTTTTTATTATTATCAATTAGGCGATTAGTGAATTAGCGGCGAGTGATAATACCCTATTATCTATTCGTGCAACACTCCTATTAGCAAATTTTATTTGGCTGGTATGTAATACCTTTTTGTATATAAATTAATTTTCCTATTGAATAAATACAATAAATTTGAATTATTATTAATAAAATTTTAGTGTAATGAAAATTTACCTGAAGAGCAAAGTTTTCTCTTATTGCCTCTATTAATGGATATTGCTATTGCAGATGACGATAGTGTAAAACGAAGGTAATTAATTTTCTTTTGTAATATTTATATTCTTTAATGATCTATTTTTTTAATTTAAGTTTTGCAAAAGAAGCTATGCTTAATATAAATGCATTTTTCGAATTTAAACAACGAACACGTTATATACATTCATTTCAATTAGCACAATTGATATATCATGCTCAACATTTAAAAGATTATAATACACCAACACAAATTGTTGCTCCAGAAACAAATCGTCGATTATCAATTCCATCAACCGACGATATTGTAAGTATTTTCTTTTGAATAGAATAGAATAGAATTGAATAAAAAACAGAGCACGGATGGTTTTTTCATTCTATAACTTATCTTTCTTTTTTTTTAATATCAAATATTAATTTCTTGTGTGTTTGTGTGTATCCATTATCTAGCCATCTTTCTTAAAATGGTCATTTTCAACACCATTTCGATCGTTAAATGTAAAAAACCTAGAGCAGGAACAAGTGTGGTTTGTTTTGTGGTTTGTCTTTGTGTGTTTCTCTATATATTTATATTTAACTGGACTCTTCACATTAGATATCTAAAAAAAATAATTTGTTTAACGTTAAATGTTTGTCTTTAATGCATGGGTGAATGCTATTGTTGTTATTGTTGTTGTACTTATTTTGATGTTTATGCATGATCTGATTGAATGTATTTAAATGAAATTGATTTTCGATTTTCTTTTATATTTTTCTTATAGTTAATTGCTGAAAAAATCGATGGAAGTATTCGAGATACGAATACATTACAAACGGATAATTATAAAAAATGGAATTGGGATTTAATATTAGCTTTATTAAAAGTAAATTTAGTTTTATATAATTGTTAAATATACATAGTTATTAAATAGGATTTTCCAAAACAAGCAGGTCAAGTGCAAGGCGATCTTTACGAATTGTAAGTTTTTCATTTCGTTTGACGATTTAGTTTATTATTCTCAGTTGAGGGTTTGATGAAAAATATTTGACGATAGACAGAATGGAAGTTTGTATTACTGAAACTTAATACGATTTCTTAATAATCATCGTTCATATCGAGATGACAGATTAATAGGTATTATTACCATCTCTATTATATTGCATGAAAGATTATTCATATAGAATTGTTTGCACTTCTTTGATATAAATATAATTTGAATTATATCAACATTTAATAGAGTTATATAATTGATTTATCTCATATTGTAAATTGATTATCAAATTTAATTGAATTTATTTTTGTAAATTTAGATTTCTTGATAAATTATGTGACTTTTTTAAACCAGAACAAAATGATGGTTTCAATGAAATTAAATTAATAGATTCATTATCCGATGTAACTTGTCGTGCTTTATTAGCATTTTCTGATCTTCTAATATATCCGTCTCAAGCAACATCAAATAATATTAGAGTAATTAAATTTAAATAAAAAATTCTCTATTAAAAAAATTTATTTCTAGTTGACAGCAAGTAATATTGTTCATACACTTTTAATTAGTGTTAGCGATGCATTACAACAAGTAAGATAAATTTAATTTTAATCTAGAAATTATTTATCTTTTATTATATCTATATATAGTCAATTGTTGCAATGAAAGAAGGCAATGGACGAGCTTTTATAACAGAACATGATTTATTATTAAAAAATAGTGTTTATTATTATTTATTTCTTGGTCGTTTAAGTAAATCATCTATTGGTACACAAGCATTAAATGAAAGTTATATATTTCTTCGGTAGAATTTTTTTTCTTGTATATATATATTATTTGAAATTCGTTTTAGTCTTTCGGAAATGTTAAAAATGGATGATGAATTTGCCACATCAGCTATTGTTGCTTTATCTTCATTTAATTATTATTGTGATGGCCCATGCCGGACTTATTTAACTCAAGCATTAAAATCATCTTGCACAGTAATTATTAAAACTATTATTATTATTGACTTGATTTTTTTGTTTGTTATTTCTAGACACTTCGTTTGTATAGTACAAGTCTTCTTCGTGTAATACTTCGTTGCAATCCGGAAAAATTTGGTAGTTGGGGTTTACATCTTCTTGTTTCACAATTACATGATGCAAATCAATTAGTTTTAATTGAAACAGCAATTGTTCTTGATGAAGCACTTGAAGATAGAGTAAAAAGATTTATTTTTCTTTTCGTCTTTTTACTATTTTTTTTTTGATTTAAATAGAGATTAGTAGATGTATTTTATAAACAATGGTCAACATTTTCTTCAATAAAAAATGGTAGTCGTTATTTATTAAATGTTTATCATTTAGCTACAGCACGTATATGTTCAATACCATTTCATCAAACACAATATGATGAAAAATATATGTCAATGGTACGTGAAGAACTTATATTTTGGGATACAGCATATAATGCACACTATGTTACTTTTATCGAAACAAAATTATTTTCAGCATATTCTGATGGTCCATTATTAACCGATGATTATTTTGAAAGACGTAAATCATCATCAACAAATAAAGCACGAAAGAGAATTATAACTGCACATGTTTCATCACATTTATATCGACAATTATGTCTTCATTATGAAGGTTTTCTATTATTACGTGCTGAATCTCGTTTAGAACAATATGCAGCGGAATTAAAACAACATCGAACGAATTGTATTAATATAGTTGAAACAAAAGCAATTAAAGAAGCACTTTGGGCATTAGCACATACAGCTAGTACTGAATTTGGTTTTACATGGTTTACGGAAAAAGATTTATTACCAGATTTTTTAAGATTTGCTGAAGAATGTCAAAATTTATCTGTCAGAGGGTAAGACAAAATTTTCAAACGGAAGAAGAAAATATTTTTTAATAAATTATATTATTTTTAGTACGGCATTTTATGCGCTTAGTTTAATTGCTCAAACCCCAGATGGTGCCATGTCTTTAAAGGATTTTGGTTGGGAAACATATCGTGTTCGATCACATTCAATACCACCTTCGTTAGCAATTACTGATGCTTATCAAGCTCCTGAAAGACGTGTTTCAAGAGCTGGGTTTTCAACATTATCATCACGTAAAAGTGTTTCATTACAAGTCACGCCACCAACAGCATCATCAACAACATTATCATCCATGAATAGTCATTTAGAACCTATAATAAAACATGATCTAAATGAATCAATATCAAGTGATGGTGTACCATCAGTTCGACTAAATGTAAATGATGATACTACATCATCTGATGTTAAATCTAAACGTTCATTAACTTTACCATCAACGATTTCAACAAATTCGAATGATAAACCTGATGTTCGACATGGTAAATAAAAATTGATTCTTTTTTTCTTTTCATTTCAAATTGTATATAATTTTAGTTGTTATATGTGAAGAAAGTGGTCCGCCAACACCGACAAATAAAATAGCTACAGTAACTTTTCCAGATTGTCTTGAACCCAGTGGTGCTCCATTGCTTGTTAATGTACCTATTCGTCGTTGTTCAAGTATTTCAAAAGAATTAACAAATTCAAGTGTGTATCGTGATTCTGGTATAGCTAGTGGAGCAACAGGATCATTTTCTGAAGTTGAATATTCTCGTTCACCATCTTATGGAGCACATACAACTCATACACAATCTCAATCAGCTGCTGCACAATCAGCAACAGATAGTTTACCACTAGAACGTTTTCGTCCTCGATCAAAATCCGCTCATCAATCAAATGCATTACGGCAATCAAATAAATTACAAAAAGTTCCTGAAGTTATCCAGGCTTTACGTGCACCAACAGCTGGCCTTGGTGGTGCTTCAGAACCATCAGCAACTGATGAATTATATCGATCACGTTTATTACGTTGTAATTTTCTTTTAAAACCCGATGCAGCTGGTTATGAATTTGCCCGGCGTGTACAAAAAACTAGTCATGCAACATATTCACATTTAGTTAATAGTACTACAAATGAGTCTCATATAGATGATATATCATTAAAAGGAAAAGATGATGATCATGTACTACCATTTAGTAGATATACATCAAAATTTTATAAGAAAATTTATGAAGCACATGATACTCGTGATTTGCAAATTGATAAATTTTTAACGACGGATGGGTAATCAATTGATTATGATTAGTTCGAATATTCTATTTACCTTTTTCATTTTCTTTTTTAATAGTAAATATGCTTCGGAACAACGTGATTTAGATGATGCTGCCGAAGATGGAAATACAGTTTATCGTGGTTTAGCTGTACCAGTTGATATTCAACAAGTTGTCGAAGTAAGAAAATCTAATTTAATATACAATGAGATCTATGATAATGAATACTTTAACGAGAAAAAAGATGAGGGCGAATAAGAGCGTTTTTCTACTCTCCAAAATATTTCGATTTCTTGTGTTGGAATATCATCAGGAGACATCCCTCACTTGATGTCAACACAAGAAATCGAAATATTATGAAGGGCAGGAAAACGCCCTTAGCCGCCTTCGTCCTTTGTGAGGTGACAGTTCATGACAATGAATTTAATTTTCCTACGATAAACATCTGTCTATAGTAGACACTCACAGAAAATATCCATATATATTTTATTATTATTTTAAATATTAACCATCTCTTTAAAAGATATCAGATGGTTACAATTTAAATTATGAAACATGGTCTGATCTTGTTCGTTCACGTTCACGTGGTAATACAAATGCTGATCAAGCACGCACACGTAGTGCTACTGGCGCATCAACAAGTTCAGGAGGTAATTATTGATTGTATATTTACATTTCTTGCAAAAAATTATTTTTTTTATAGAATTTACACCATCATCACCTGCAGTTATATCACAAGATCAAACTGTAGCTACAACAATAACTATATCAACAAATCAAACTACATCATTGAATATTTGTATGATGTGTATGCGTAATCCAACAAATTCAACATCACATGAAAATCCTCATATAACTGTGCAAACAGATTTTGCTGATGTTAAATCATTGGCTAGTCGTCTTATTGCTGCAATTCATGCGGATGAAGTTGAAAAAAAACTTTTAAGGTTTAATAAAAACTTTGAGTTTGTTTTATAATTAAAATTAAACAAAAAATGTTTTATTTTAGTTGGAAAGAAAGTCGCCCACAAATATTTGATAATATTTGTTTATATTCAGAAATATGTTATATACTAACAATGAGTAGTGTACGTGTTCCTGCTCAACGTTTTCTACATGACTTATTTTCTGATTGTCAATTTCAAAAAGTATGTTTTAAATAAACAATTAAAACAAAATTATCTAACTTCTTCTTTTTTTGTGTTTATAGCTTCGTAAACGTCGTCATCATGCTGATGTTTTAGTTGAACACGATGCTGAAGAAGAAGAAGAAGAAGATGATGATGAAGAAGAATTAGATACTAGTACGAGTTCATAAAAAGCAAAAAGTAGCCATCACAAAGAAAAAAAACTATATTTAAACAAAGTCTGTCTTCCTTTCTACTCCCCTGTATTCACATAATGTCAAATATTGTCTTTTTTTTGACCGGTGACAATTTACCGACACTATTATATATATATTTACATTTTTTACATAAAGAACAGTGAGATTTATTTAATTGATTAACTTCAAAAAAAGAAAACAACATAGTATGAGAATTATTTTTTTTTCCTTTCTTTCATAAGCTTCTTTTAATTGTATGAAGTGTGTTTTTTTTTTCTGTTTGTGTGTTTATGTATATTGTCAACATTGATTCCACTTTATCTGTTGTTGTTGCACATCTTTTGCAATACCCTCCCTATTTGTTTCCTAGTGGATTTAACAGTAAAACAATAAATTTTGGAGTTTGAAAAAATTTGAAACAGTAACATGTAGAATTTACTGCTAGTATTCAATGAAATAAATAAACGTATGTTATAGACATAATTAATTTTTATCTAGAAATATCATTTTGTTTTATAGCATGTGTCTATAGACAAAAAAGACCAGATAAATGTCATAGAAACATATGTTAGGAATTGATAAAAAAGACACTTTTCTCGATGGTTTGATTCATCTTTTGTTTTTTTTTGTGATTAATTCAAAGATACGTCGAGTTTGTTTTCAATAAACCTTGATGAATTCATGTTGTCAGATTCGATATTTAGAAACATCAATGTACTGAATATGTGTATGCTTAGCTTTTGAAGAAAGGAAAATATTATTTTTTTTCTCTGCTGAATGAATTTAATCAATATTATTACATAAAATATTCATCGCTGCATTATTAGAAATAGTAGTATTTTTAGATCAATATGCTCGTCGGCGAAGTATTGCTTTGATGAAATGATACTCGACGATATTGATATCAGCGCTAGTTCCTTCCGATGATATTTTCGTAAACAACCAAAAGTCTCACAGGTAGTTTTAAGGAATGTATACAGACACATGGGACGATCATGGAAAACCATATGATTATAGTAAATATCGTCAATAATGTAATATGACGTGATTCATAAAATATTTTTCATTGGGAAATTCTTAATATAGATCACAAAATGCATTTGAATACGTGAAATAATGGATATGAAATGTTAATTATTTAAATAAAAGAAAGTCATGGCATACATTAAAAAATAATTAAGAATCGTCTTTTATGACATTAAAGAATGAGATCATTATTTCAAAAAAAAAAAGAAGAAGAGGATGTATTACCAAGTGTTTAGGATAGATGAGCATGTGAAGTATAATAGAGATAAGAATCCTTATGTTTATAATCAGACATAATTTAATAGATCGAACAGAATTTTTTATTTCCCATTATATTATATAACAATATTAACCTATACAAAAAAAGAATAATTAAATTGATTCTCGTCTACTCTTTTGTATTACAATATCATAATTTCTTATTTTGAAGTATAATATATATTTTAAAAAAATTTCTAATATTTAATTTGTAAAAAATTTCTTTTAATGTATTCAACGTTCAAAAAAAAAATTTCTCTCTTATAATTATAATTTATATATATATAAATAAGTGAAAGATTCTTTTTCTCCCTTGGAAATATGAAACAAGAACAAACGAAAAAATTAAATTAAATTGGAATGAGAAAAATAAATGAAAAAATAATCACAATTCCGTTCTCTGAGAAAAAAGAAGCACCGTTTGAGAAGTATTGGATAAGGATGAAGATGCAGCTGAATGTCTATGATTATTATTATTATGCGTAGTTGTTGTCGTTGTTGTTTCTAATGATGATGACGATGTATTATTCGCATTAATATGCAACGAAAGACGATGTGTAGCTATAGCATCTACGAATACTGATGTAATAGTACGAACAGGCGCTTGTAACGACATAGGAAAATCTGTATGCAGCTAAAAACAAACATAAAAATCAAAGTTTATTTTAAAAGAAAATAGTGATTTCAATTTTACCGATGTTGTATTTTGTCCATGATTCGAAGTTTGTTGTAGTGTTGCTCTTAATACAGGTTGTTGATCATTTTTAATTAAATATTCATCAAATGCTTTATTAGTTTCACCTATGACATATAATTACAATAGTCAATTTTATCAATCGATTTTATTTACCTTCTGTAGATGATTTCAAATGATTAAATGACTTGACAAATACTGGAGTAGGTGGTGTACTCTATAGAGAGAGCGAGAGAGAATTTAATATATATTTCATATAAATAATTCGATTTATTTTTACCAAACGATTATAAACAATTGTCTCTGTACGTGGTTGTGTAATTTGTCGATAGGAAAGAGATGATTTCTTTTCTGAATAACTATTTAAAAAATATTCTATATAATTACTAATAAATACTTGTATGAATCATACTCTGGTTGAATAGGAGTCGATGAAAGATTGACAACAATAGCTTGTAATCGACTTGAATGCTCTATTTAAGAAGAAGAAGAAGAAGAAGAAAAAAAGTCATGAATGATGTATCAATCAAGAAAAAGATTTTACCAATTTTTTTTAACCATATTGTTGCATGTCTTCGTCGATAACATACAATTATTAGAATTAAAATACCGATTAAAGCTAATGTTGGTAGTGTCACAGCGAGTATAATTACTAAAGGTTTATTACGACCATCAACCAAATTAGATAAATCATCAGTTGATTGTTCAATATTTGTCTGTGTAGTTTTATTTGCTGATGATGGATGTTCAGTTGTTACTGTACTACTCATTTTTAGTTCATTACTAATTGATCTGAAGAAATTAGATAAAAAAGAAAGAAAATTAAAACTATCGATAGATATATATGTAAGATAATAAATGAACACTTCTTCTATTTTAACTCATCTGACGATTTTTAATGATTGATAGATTAACGTCTGTTTTCTTTCTTTTAGTATATATATATGCGTTGATCGTCTCGCCATATATTTGATAATAGGAAAACAAAACCCAAGACAACAAATAGTTCAATAAATATCTAAAGGAAAAAAGACAAGAGGATGATTTGAAAAAAAAAGCATGAAACAGATAGATATATGTAACTAAAATAGAGAGAGACAGAGAGAGCAGCGAAATGCACGAGCAGCACTGCCAATAATAACAAAGAAGAGCAAAAGAAACGCAAGAAAATGAAAGATAGACTAAGAATGATTCTATTCTTTCTCGATGCACACAGCTCGCCAATTTTACCATTACAGTACGACATGACGCGAACAGACCATCATCCTTTTTTTCTCTATTTTTAATACTATCATATATAGCGGACTATGTATGTGATGACGTAGGTGTAAAGTGCGAACAAAAAAATTTCTTTTTTCAAATACAATTATAAAAAAATTTCTTTTTCTACTACTACTACTTCTTCTTCTTCGCCTCTCTCTCGTTCTCCCCCTTCCCTTTTCTATTTTTTGTTTATGTGACATAGATAAGAGACATTTGATCATTACATACATTCATTTTTTTCGCTCAGTTAGTCACTCAGACGTTTTCTCATAATAATCTCTATTACTTCTATGTATGCTTTGAAATTTTTTACAACTTTTTGTTGTTCGATTCAACACTTATGTTGTTTCGATTTATATAAAAAAACGAACAAAAACCTTAGAAGTCGCTTCATATATAACTATCAATGAAGTAATAACTCTAACATCGAGACTTTTTTTCTTCGCGTCTTGTTTATTCATTTTTTTTTCTTCATTCGTTTTCGTTAAATCTTCTGTTTTGTATACCTTGATCGAATCGTATGATGTTTTCATTAAAATAAAAATAGAATATAAACAGGAAAATGATTATTGTCGATTTTGAACACGATCAGCAATCACTTGAGGATTGGTTTTAGCTAAAAATTTTCTTCCTACTGCTTTGTAATCAATCGGACATTGATGTTCATTTGAATATCGACAATTCGAACAAAAATGTCCACCACATGCACATGGATATTGTAGAATACCCATGATTTTCTTACAATTTGGACAACGAGTTTTTTTTGATATATTATTTTTTATTGTTGATTTTGATTGAGTTGATAATGAAAGATTTTCGACAGGCGATGACAATGATACTGTTGATTCAATGACAACTTGTTCTTGTTTCGTGTCAACAGAAATATTTTCTTGTTTGATTTCATTGAATTTTTTCTTATATTCATCATAACATTGAGAACAAAATCCATCAAATATTAGATTTCCAAAGAAACCACAATTATTCTTACATAATTGAGATGTAATACTACTAGTAGTTAAATCAGTTGTTGATGTCATTTTTATTAAATTACAATCGATATTGATAAGAATTAATTGTATGTAAGAGATTGACTATGCAAATATATGATTGATAGAAGAATAAATAGTAATAAAATAGAGATAAGAAGAAGCGGAAATTATGATGAACGACATGATGTAAATGAATTCACAAAAAAAACGCGCACTAGAAATGATACTCTTACTTTTAGATAGACATGTTGTTTTAAAGTGATGCTTGTTGCAATCATTAGACATTTAATTATTTATTAGTTTTTTGTCATTCATTTAGAAGTTTCTTTTTTTCATTGAAGGAGAAAGAAACATACCCAACCTCTTTTTTTCTCCCTCTCTCTGTCCCTTTATTTTTTGCTACTGCTGTTGCCGTTCTCACCTGTCTTCAAAATGTGTGACATCAATAGAGCCTATATATATCTCTTGTGACTTGTGCTGTACTAAGCCGATAGCAAACCGAGAAAAATGAAAGAGAAAAAGAGGAAAATAAAGTCGTTTATAAAGACGGCTGCTTCATTTTTATAATCTTAAACAAAAGTGTCACTTTTACACTTGGTGCAAACAATATTATTATTGGTTTACAGTAATAATAGTGTTCAAGAATGCGCATAAAGCAGAAGAAAAAAAGTTCATAGAGTAAACTATATATAATCTCGATTGTATTACATAAGATCATTAAAATATATCACGATATCAAAGATTTTATTAATCAATAAAGTATAAATTAAAACGTTTCTTATCATCACTTACTTGTCAAAATTAATTTCGAGGCAAATTTAGGAATTGTAATATTATTAAAAAAACGATATAGTAATTGATAATTATGTACTCGTACGTAAACACATATCTTCATTGCTAAATAGAAATCAATTTATAGTCTACGAATGAGAAAAATATTTTTTTTTCTAAACTATATTAATTGATTGGCGTTGAGGACGTCTTTTTTTTTTCACGTCTACCGAAACAAAGACGACATTTTCTTTTAGATCAATATATTAGATAAGAAAAAAAAATCATATCATAGTAGACATGTCAATATTCTCACAAAAATTGTTTTATCAAAAAACAGATCTATATCTTCTTTGATATTTCCAGGAAAAATGATACATGACGTCAATGTAATATTATATGTATATCTTTGCTTTGGTTACTTTTATTTTTAAATCAATCTTTGATATTTCCATTTCTTCCTTTAATTTCTAAAAGACGATAAACTGACATTTTTCTTGCCTAGTTATTTGGCTACGCAAAGGTGAAAAATAAAATACAAAAATTTATATATATTTTATTAAGCTAAAAATAAAGCGAGAAAATTTCCATTGAAAAAAAAAGAAAAGAGATATAAATTAGGTTGGAATTCTATGTAAATTTAAATTATCTTCAGCTGCTATAGCTAATATATCTGAACCAAATAAATTTGCTCGATAAGGTACAGAAGGATAATGAATATTGTCTTTGCTTTTTCCTTGTTTTGTAATATGATAAATATTCGATTCGACTCCATCAATAACAAGCCATTCATTATGTTTTAAAGGACAACATGTAAATAAACGAAGATTATGGGCAGCACCTAATGGAAGCGACCAAAGTGTAGTAAATGTACTTATTAATTTTAATTCCATACGTCTTGTACTTTCTCTGCCATCTTTAATCATTAAAGCAAGTGTTTCATTATTACATTTAATATCATGAATCCCTTCACCAGATTTACATGTAAATGGCGATTTCCATTGTTTAATTAAATCCATCGAAGATCCAAGACTTAATTCATATATTGATGAACCCCATTCACATGTTGATAGATAAAGAGATTTATCCGAACATGTACAGGAAAACCAAGTTTCATTAAATTGTTCTTTAAATGGAGCAACCAATAGATTTTTTTCATGAATTATATAAATATCTTTTATTGTTATAATGATAAAACAACATAATGTAGATGACCAGCACATATCACGAATCCAATCATGATTCCATAAATCTTGACGAACCATTCTACAATCACGATCAATTAAACATAAATATGGATTTTGATGAATTAATAAAAATTTGTCACTACTAGCTATGGCTGATGAACTAATTTGAGAATAACCAAATGTTGAAGGTGTTTGTAAAGAATTTCGAATACTGAATCTTTTTTCAATATGAAAATAACTATCATCAATAGTTAATGGTCGAACATTAATTTGTCTACATAATTGTTCAATATCGTCTAAATCCTGTTCAATAGAACGAATAATTAATTTAGCTGGAATATTTTCTTCATTGATTTCATGTTGGTCTTTTAGTTGATTTAAGTTTGATTGTATTGTTAATTTTTTTTCTTCATATTGATTTTTTGCTTCATCTAAATAAGAAGTAAGTTCTTGTGATTTTCTTTGATAAATATCATTGATTGTTTTAACAGATTCAGCATGCCATTGCTTAAGTTTTGTTTGTGCATTCAGAGTTATTTGATCAATATTGAATGCTTCGAGTCGAACATTATAAAGATTAACTATATTGTCATTTGAGTTAGTCATCATTAAATAATATGAATTTCTTCTTTCTTTAGTAAAATTTCTTGTCTAGAATAACAATAACAATCAACATAGAAATGGGTTTTTTTTTTTGGTATGTTAAAAATAGAGTTGCATGATTAACAAAGATGTTGTTGTTAACAAGAGTAAGAAACAGAAAGGTAAGAAGAAGAAAAAAAAGTATTCTTTTTTCTTTAAGCACACATTTCATTGAAAAAAAATTACTTTTTAAATAGAAGTCAGGGAAGAAACAAATGAAATTCCACTATTCACTGAATTCTAAATATATATATATATATGAAAAAACTCTTCAATATAAAATAAAGATTGATTTGACAGTTATGATTTAGTTGAAATTTATCCTAGTCATTGATTCGAAAACAAAACATAAAGTATGTCTGATCCTAAAGACTTTATCTTTTTCTTATATTTATCAAAGATAAGACGAAATTCTAAACTGTATTTGAATTTTTCTTCTTAATACCATTTCAAGTATTTTTCTCGAATAAATTGATTTTCAAAAATTCAATAAAATAAACATTTTTTTACTAACTATATATATTATGACCTTGATTTCATGTTTACATAATCATTTTATGAATTCTTCAGATAAAATTGAATAATGAATGAGAAAATTATATCACAAAACAGTTCATAAATTTTTGATTAAAAAATGATTTCATACTGTTATCTTATTCTTATGTGTTTCTCTTAAATATACGAATTGAACTTTGAGAATATATACTCTCTTTTAAGAAAATAATAAAGAATAAAATCTAATGTTAAAAAATATTTAGTTAACTTTGATGCATGCCTTATATATATGATTGACTAATTTAAATAGTATAAAATGCTCAATGATGCAATTAATTATAGTCTTGCATTATAACTACAGATTTATAGAAATTTTATTACAGCTGGCTTTATTTATCTCTTGATAAAGAACATATTGAGTTATTATTATGGTATTCTTCAACGAAAATTCGATCATTATTATATATATATTCCTTGCAGACCTTACTGTAAAAACGATAAAATGCATAATTGCTGTTTTATTATACAGAAGAAATACTCCAAGTATGAAAATATCCTATAGATTATATTACATTCAAATCCTCCTATTAATCTGTTTATATACATACTCTATTGAATCATTTAAATGAAATATTTCAGTTCTCTTACTTTTTCGCATGAGTATATATATTTAACATTCAAACGTAAGATGTCGTCAGTATACAAATAAGAAAAATCATCTGAAAAAGATCTATAGAAATGACTTCTATACAATCTAAGCCTATAAAATCTTTCTAATAATGTTTCTTGAATTTTCAATCGAAAAACCCAGCTTAAATCCTACTAGACGCCATTGATTGGTTAGTCTTTGTCTGCGAAATTTCGACTACTGATCATCGGTATTTTTTTTGTATTCTTCTTTTTTTCAATCACTATTATTACAACAAATGTTATTTCGTTCATCATCATTTACATCTTCATGTACGGAATCTATTAATGAAAAACCTAAATCAACTGTAAGCTTTCGTCATCATGAATCTTTACAAAATCTTCAACAAAATCAAAGACAACCTCGTCCTATGCTCTCACGTCCATTAAATATTGAAAATAATAATCAACATTATCCACCAATAGTACCACAAAATCTAAAACGTGCAACAATGAACACAGTTCTTTTACCAACACATAATTTACCAATAAATTCGTTGCTGAATGAAAAAAAATATGAACAACAACAACAAAGCGAAACAATAAAACGTACAAATAATCAAGATGATATAGAAAATATTCAAGAACGTTTACATGAAATGCTTATAACTGCACCAACAGCAAATGATAATGAAACAGTATTATTACCAGCAGAACAATCATCAACAACAGAATATTTTACACCGAAAATTTCAATTGATGAAAATGGAAAGAAAAAAACTGATGAACAAGATAATCAAACTGATGACGATGATGATGATGATGAACTTTATCGTAAATATTTTTTAATATAAGATTATTGTTTATATATTGATTTCTAGCTATGTCAAATGGAATCGAATCAGCAGCACATCCATTTTTTGATGTTCTATCAACAACATCCTATGAAAAAGAAGTTATGGTATATTTACTTAGTTTAGAAGAACGTTTCGTAACTGAAAATGAAAAATTACGTTTATCTAAACGTCTTCGAGAATCAACAAATAGTTTAAAACCAGTTCAAGGTGTACCAATACCAGGTAGTAATTCAACTGTTATTATAACACCAAAAGTTCGATGTAAACTTATTGATTGGATTATATCTGTACATGATTATCATCGATTAAATGCTGGTAAAAAAACAAACTTCTTATTTAATTCATTCATAAATATTTTCTTTTAGCTATACTTTGTCGAACTATTCATTTGATTGATAGAATTTTACTTTTAAATGATCAAATGACTAAACTTGATTTACAACTTCGTGCTGTTAAGTAAGAAAAAATATTCTTAAAAATTTTCTATATATGAGTAATATTTAGTTGTTTTACAATTGCATGTAAACTTGAATCACGTCGTGTACCTGATACAAATTCTTTATTATCTTTATTTGATGCACGACATCATGTAACTCCGGTGATTTTAAATCATGGTGAAAAACAATTATTAACACAACTTGATTTTGAACTTGGTTAGTTTGAATTCTCTTTAAATTTATTTTATTCATATATACTTCAATTAAATAGAATATCCATTAGCAATCCATTTTCTTTGTTATTATCTTCGATTTTTACCATTTCATTTCATTATTTATTCATTATCAAAATATATGATTGAATGTGTTCTATGTGATGATACATTATCAGAACAAATACCTGGTTCATTATTAGCTGCATCAACATTATTATTAGCATTAAAATTAACAAAACAATTAGATAAACCACAAGTGACGAAACGATTCTATAAACATCAACCATATAAACATGATCGATTAGAAAAATGTACTGGACAAATTATGAAAATAATGCAAAATGTATCGAAATCTTTATATCATACAAATGTACGTGAAAAATATAAACGAAGTGAATTTGATCGGGTTGCTAATTATCAATTCAGTAATGATCTTGGTAAAATAATTAACTAGAAAAATATATATTGTAAATTATTATTATTTTATTTTAGTAATACCAATTCCAGAAAATACAAAATCGTAATAATTTTTCTTCTTAGAGAAAGAGAGAGGCTCTACAACACATCTTTCATTTGATTTCTTCCTATATTTTTTTTCTTGCTGTTGACTGTTATTTTTTTTTTGTTGTTCTTTATGACAGAGCGTGCCAGAAATATTAAGTTAAATTTTTTTTTTTCAAAAAAAAATATTTTCCTGTGAATCTATGTGTGTATGTATTTCTGTATATAGTATAAGAAAGATCATAGGAGTAATATTATATTTGAAAACATATGAAGTTCTGTAAGAAGTGAAATTATCATCATTCTGATCGTCTTTATTTTAGATTTGGAAAAAAAGAACAGTAAATGATCATGTCTCTCTTTTTTGTTAAATGAACAAAACATCTTGAAAGAAATATACTGCTTTATAATCATTCTATAACATATTTCCGTAATTAATCGAATCAACATTTAGCTAATTTTTAACAAATAATATCTCTTGTTTTATGACCAAAACTTGTATTAGATTATGTATAGATGAAAACACAATAATAGTATAACTATACATAGTATATAAGTCAATAGCAAATAATCATATATGTTATTTGTTCTATTATATTTACAAAAATGATTTCTATATGGCTGATTCTCGTTTTTGCTCTATTACCTTATATAAACAGTAATAATATTACTATACGAATCTATTCTAATCTAGCAGAAATTATTCGACCATTCGACAAATTACCTCTTGAATTTAGTGAAGATGATTGGAATAATATTCAATCAGATTCGATTACACTTATTGGTAAAAATGTAAATATTTCATCACAAACAATAACAGAAACAAAGAAAAATTTAAATGGTAGTGAAATATATATTCGGTCACCGATAACATCCAATAAACCAACACATAAATTAATTAAAGGAATTCTCATCGATGATATAAATCATCTAGTTAAAATACAAGATGAATCCATTGTTGATCATCAACCTCTATATCTCACTGTACCAAATGATCAAATATTATATGTCGAAAAACCAATGAAACCAAAATATTCTGTTAATTTTTCTTATACAAGTGCTTTAGATTCACAAATATTTGTCAGTTATCTTCAATCAAATATCAATTGGCGAATACAATATCAATTAAATTTACATGATAATACAAGTACTTTTATTGCTATGGCTAATATTCGAAATGATGGGAAATTACCGATAACTGTTGATCAAGCTGAACTTATCGGTGAAGATATTAATTTACGTATACAAAAGCAGCAGCAAAATGATCGAACGCTTCGTAAAATTCGATTTGGTAGTGAATCAAGTGCTCAAGCTAAATCAAATCCTATGCAAATTCTATTTGCAGATTCCATTGAACCGATTGTCGAACAAGGAAATGAATTTGTTGGATTGTATGTATTCTCCATCAATAAATCAATCACAATTGATGGTAAAACAAATTATCTTCTACCGATGTTTCATCCAGATATTTCTGTTGAACAATATGGATTAATTTCAAAGACATTTTCTACTCGATCAAGCTATGGTAAAGCTCAACGGTCTTATCGTTTGAAATCTGATCGATATCTTTCTCGTGGAAAGTAAATAGGAAATATATATATTCTTTTTGATATAGAATTTTCTTATTTTTTTGTGTTAGTTGTATTATAAGAGAACAAAATCGAGTCATTGGCGAAATAGTATTACCAAATTTAGCATCAAAAGATAAACATGAATTTTCAATTGGAGAAGATGCTAATATTATTTATAAAGAAAATGTAACATTAATTTCTAATCAAACATCATCTGATAAACGTAGATCATCATCCATTTATGAAATACATATACAAATAAAGAATTTTAAAGAGAATTCAATTAATATTCAATATGAACAAAAAGGTTTTTATATTCATCATAGTTATAAATTAATGAAATCAACTAAACATCAATTTATTCAAGATGGTTCATCAATTAAATCGAATATGACATTAAAAGCAAATATGGACGAAGTTTATTCTTATACTGTTGAAATTATTAATTAAACTAGGAAGATATATAACTTTAATCAAGAGAAATTTTTTTGTGGAATATTTAGATTATCAAATCATTATTTATTTTTAAGATATCTAGTCTATTATTTAGAAAATGATTTACATAAAGTTATAAATATATATATAGAGAGAGAAACATAGCAGGATTCTTTGCATGATATATTGGATGGTAATTGCTTTGAATTAATATTGTTTGTTCGAATAACATACATTATTGACTTGAATTAATCAAGTGTAAATGTATAAATAAAGAATTCCCTTTTTTTCTTTTTCGACTATTTTCTACTGTTATATTACAATGCTAAATTCGAAAAACTATAGTTTTCTATTTATATAAATATATAAAATATTATTGTCATTCAACTGATTATATCGATGAGTAAATACTTATCTCAAGATTGTATAATATGTTAATTGTGATTTAAGTATATGCTATAATTAGTTTTTAGTTTATGCATTAGGATACTCATTAAGATTATATAATATCTCATTGTTTATTTTATATATGTTGAAACCGTGATAAAAAAGCTTTCAGATATAGATCTTTGAATTTTCTTAAGATCAATAAATTGATATATGTGTTGAATTGTTCTGAAGTATAGAGCATTCGACCGAAACTTTAATACGCTTCAATAAATATCATGCATTATCGTGGTTAAATGATATAATCAGTTTTTATCTATATATTGTTCAATCAATAATGTTTCTTTCTTTTATCTCGATTCGTATATTAAACTCAAATAAATCAAAATCAATACTCTGAATATATTCCACCTTGGGGGAAACACTTCAATCACTCAACGAATTACTGGTGAAAGTCACTGATGATGATGATGATGATTGAAATGAAGTTCCATCTGATTATATAACACTTCTTTGAAGTAATCCTAATGTTACATTACACATCATAACAGAAAAAAAGAAAACATTAAATAATATACAAATGTATATTTGTTCATCTGTTTTCATTGATAAAAATATTATTAAAATACAACAAATACATTATATTTTACTGCTTCATCTCAAGATATTTTTTTATTTTGGAGATTCAACAAATTCACAAGTATCAGTTGGAATATTTGAAAATCATTTGTCTCAGATGTGATATGAATCTTCATATAAAATATTCAAGATATATTTATTATAACACAATTAATAGCTATGTTACTACCACAACTAGATCTAATTTAGAATTATGAAGCAATTCGGAACTAAATATTGAATAACGAAATGAATTAGCCAGTATGTTGTTTTTTTTCTATTGATAAACCATCCACAGACTTCTGTTGAACTGTATGAATTAGTCTTAAAAACATTTCTGACTATTATACAGAAAATGTAACGTTCATCTCATCAACAAAATTCGTAGAATCTCGTCCTCGTTCTGTGTATACTGAAATGAAAAATCTATTGTTTACAAACAAAACTTATACTTAATAATTTCACTTAACATAGGAGAAATCAAATATACTTAACAGAAGAGCACTTGAAATTTGAACAACGAAATTTATTATTAACAATTTTGTATTGTCAATATATTCATAAAATATTCTTTAGTTCTTAGATTAAATCGATCATTTTCATGAAAAAATTCTGTATTATTTTTACTTTAAAAACAAAAATCTCAATAAATGATGTTTTCATATATACTTTAATAAAAATCCATTGCATTATTATAAAAGAAATATATATCATTTTGTTCGTTTACTTTGTTCGCACACACACCACTTATCTTTCCTGTGGTGGCTACTAGAAAGTATACATTTGTGCTTTTTTGTTCACACACACATGCACACAGCAAGAAACGATACACACACACACAAGAAAAAACGAAATACGCAAAGAGCTATTTTCAAAAACGAAAAATACCAAAAAAGTCGAAAAGAAAAAAGATCTTCATAACAACAAGAAAAGAAGAAAAAAAATGTAGAGAATGCGAACAACAATAACAAATATATGGCATAGATGTGTATTATTTTGTTGTTATTATTGTTCTATTTGTTTTTTTAAATTACAATAAAAAAAAAGAAGAAAAAAAAGAAGAAGAAACGATTTGTTCTTAATTGCACGACACACACACACACAGGGAAAGAACAGGTTAAGGGGAAGCAATAATGAATAGATGTTTTTTCATTTGTTCGTTTACCAAAAAACATAAGCCGGATAAAATGAAAGAAAGTCAAGAGAGAAAAAAGAAGAAAAATCCAAGAATCAATAGACATATACTAAACCAGATGTACACAAAACACATACAAACATTGTTCTTTGTCATGAGAAAAAACGGAGCGAGAAGAAGAAAAAAAAACAAACCTATGAAATGAATTGCACACACACATATATACGTACATACATAGAGAAACTACACTGCACTGCACTGCACTGCACACATATAGATATATTTATATATACACGCATAAAGTGTGTCATGGGATTTTGTTCGTTATATTCGCATATGTAAGATGTAAATTGAGGAAACCGAGCGACCATTGCGATATAAAAATAAGGATTGCAACAAAACTGTTCGATAGAGTAGATGTGTAGACTAGCTCAACACACACACATATACATATAAGACGAGAAAAAAAAAGTACGGAAATATAGAGAGAGATAGAGAGACAGAGGGTTAAAAGATATCTGAACGTGAGCTTCGAAAGATACATGCGAATACAAATTTATGTATAGAGATATATATATATAAATAAATATTAATCAGCTATTGTAGCTGTTGCTGCTGATGTCGATGTTGTATTATCGACAGGTTTAAGTCGTAATGATACTTCCAGTGGTTTTGTTACACGATGACGACAAGGTAAATAAACCATACATGGTACAAATAAATCTTTATATAGATCATCATCACTTTCAACTAAGAATGGTTGCATAGACAAAAGACGATTATTATTATTACTGTCATTTGTTGATGTTTTATTCGTTATTGTTGTAGTTGTTGTTGATGATGATGATAATAAATTATTTAAATTAATATTTTCTGATTCATTACTATCAGTTGTATGACCATTTAAATCATTATCATTTGATATTGAACGTTTTATTGTTGATGTAAAATTCATATCAGTTGGAATTGTAGATGTTGATGATAGAAGATTTGATGACAATGAAAATGTTGATTTAGATGATTGTTGATCTGAACATGGTGATAATTGAGATGTTGAATTTGATGTTGTAGATTGTTGTTGAATTAAACGTAGATCATCCACAGATATATTATGAACATTACGCATATGAGCACGTAAAAAATATTTATTACATAATTCCTAAGATTATTTACTCTATATAAATGTGATTGTCAGTAGAAAGAAAATCTTACCTTTTTACACACTTGACAAGTAACACGTAATTGAACTTGTGGTGTTTGTTTCAAACGAACAGTATTACTTCCT